GCAGACTATGATGTCCGAACTCTCCCCTCCTGGATTCGATAATATGGGTTTCATTTATTCTCTCTATAATGATACCATCGGACCAGATATTGATGATGTTTTAGTACTTCGGCCTCTTCGGCCTATCCAATCGAGCATCAAGCATGATTAGACCAAACGTACAAGCCAATCCGCCTGGTTCTCAAGGCAGCAGAACCTGACAAATGTTGAACGTGGCATTCAAAGCAGAGTATCATCTAACACAAGAAAGAGCATGCACACAGCTGGTTTGTGTGTTAATGATTGTGATGTTAAGTTAATGTTGTTGCAGAACATGTTTGCTACAGACTTGACTTTCTGTATCCAAGCCCTGAGTCTCACAGCTCTTTTTTGGACGACCCTGAATGGCCACTTACATAATACTTATGTGGTGGCTCTCAGACTAAGAAGTTAGGAGGGGGGGTTTGGGGGGGCAAAGCCACCCCAATTAGGTTTAGGATAGGTTGGGCTGTTAGGTTGGGTATTGGCTAGGCTTGGGGATAGGATTAGGGAGGGGAATATGTATTTTCATTAGAAAACTGACTTTATTTTGACTTAGTGAAATACAAGTTGGACAGTGAGTGGCCAATTCAGACTAACCAAAAAAGAGCTGTGGGACTCAGGGCTTGGATGCAGAATTGATGCAACTTGTTTACTGTAGACTACTGTGCATATGAATAGATACTGAAATTGGCAGGTGACTTGTTTTACTAGGATCAGTGGATCATGTGGGAGATGCACTGTTTCTCTGTTTTGCAATACTTACTTTAATAAAGGGACAACCACCACATCCCTAAAAACAAGCCTTTAATCTCTGAGCTGCTTGCAGATCAGTAGACTGGGACTTTCTGACTTTGCATGCTGTGTTTGGCAAGTCTCAGAACCTTTCCAGAATTCTCTATAACCTGTGGTACAGTCAAGTCAGGATTGCTTGGGCTGGTTGCCATTAGATGATATCTGTGCCTAGCCAATCGTACCTCTGTATCAGGTCTCTGAAAGCTTCTCAGTCCTATGACAATGGAAGTGTGCAAAATTCATCTGCAGTGCTATGTGGTCTGTTCCTGGCTTGATGTCTCGCCATCGAATTTCCATTGTGCTGACTTCTTGAAAATCACGATTCCCGATGTAAAAGCAGATAAATTACTGAGGCCCAATGGTTTTCAGCTTGTACGTTATGTTCTGTTGCACTATTGCTGAGTACCTCTTTGTTTCTGAGGCAACTTCCGAGGCACCATCTTACAGCATCATATCTTTTCTAACCGATGGCATCTACATCTCAGTTTATCGGAACAATCCCTACCACACTTTCGGAGTTTGCCTCGTTTCTAAGTGTGCACGAGTGGCTCTCCTATTGGTCGAAGACTCTCCTCGCTTGGGGCCGCGAAACAAGGAATCTTTGACGGCTCGGTTCTGTCTCGACGAGAATATCTTTCTTCCCGCTCCTACGTCATCCTCGGACTTTCTGAAAATCTTTCCCTCATAGAATTGACTCATTTATTGCCCGTCCTATTGGTGAACTTGCGCCTGATCTGAGCTAGACTGCGGGACTGTAGTGACCTGGTAAAAGGTAGCTACCTCATCATTGGCGAGAGTGTCCTTCATAACCATATCATCTCTTTATCAAGCGCACACAAAAACCTATGCGTGCTTTTCCTCCGGTAAGTTCCAACACCGATAAGTGCTAGCACCGACATAAATAAATCCATTCACTCCAATTAATCGAGTGTTTTGGCCTCGTGCCTAGCTTTGAAAACAACAATGAAGTGATTCGCGGGAATTAGCGGCGAGTTCACCTACCAAACAGGGTCGAAAAACTAACAGTGAATAGAATCTATGCTCCGGCGACATTGAAGATTTTATCAGGTTAAGTGGCATCAAAAATTTGTCGTAAACCTGGTCACAATACTGGTTCTGAACATCCCATTGGAAGATTCTGGGTTACTTTCCCTTCGGTATTCGCGAACAACATCTCATTAGATGACGTTGTGGCTTGCTAGTGTTTTCCGCTTTGGAGTTGGTTCGACATCGTACTGGTGAAAGGAATGCTGGAGTGCCGAAAGTGCCGAAGGTCAATGTTTCTGTTGTTTTATGGGCATTTTCCTCGGAGTCTCTGAAAGTTATAAAAGCTCGGGCTTTTCGACGTACTTTCTTCAGCCACTCAACTCACAAGTTTTTTTGACTACCAACTCCTCTCTCGCGTTTCTCAAGTATATTCACTCTGCAACAATGTTGTTCACCAAGTTTGCCACCTTCATCTCGCTCTCGCTCCTTGCGGTCGCCACCCCTATGCCCAACGGGGGCTCTCCGACGAAGATTGCCCCGACTACGACAGTAACTGTCACCGCGACGGCGACGACGACGGAGCCTGCTAGTCAGTGCAACACCGGTCCGATTCAGTGCTGCAACACTGTCACGACTGCGGGCGATTCTGCAGCGGCGGGTATACTTGGCCTTCTTGGCATCGTCGTCCAGGACCTTGACATTCTTGTCGGTCTGACTTGCACCCCGATTACCATTATTGGTACTGGCGGCGCCTCGTGGTATGTTCTATACCGTGGTTTGCCAATAGTCGCGACCTCCTGCTAACTTTTTTCCCTTTCAGCAATGCGCACCCCGTCTGCTGCGAGGATAACAGTCATGGTATACTGGAACTTCAATCATACAAATCCGAATGTGTAATTTATTGACTTCGCCTCTCATTGCAGGTGATCTCATCTCTATCGGCTGTGTTCCCGTCGACATCAGCCTCTAATGCCGATGATAAGTCGCATCAATATAAGGAGGACATCACTATTGAGAGCTGTCTTTACTTCGGTTGGGATGGCAGTCCATTGTCAAGGATCTAGTTAATTGAGATTTATTTTGTATTGCCTGTGTCTGTGAAATTGTGTTCTGAAGTGTTTGTGTGTGAATTGGATAATATGTTTGAACGTGCTCTATTTCCTATGCATGAGTCCGGCTCTACAAAATAACATCAAAACATGAGTTGTACGAAGTTAAAATAATTTCAATAAATTGACGAAATCCCGTTAGCAGTTACCGACGGCCCCGTACTTGGGAGTGTATGGGACTGTTCAAAGATATTCGTGTCGTGGCCAGAAAGCCGTTCTTTTCAAAAGGATATCAGAGGTTGAATCATATACTGAAACTAGCTGTAATAAATGAGCTCGTCTGCACGATCAGCTGGTCATTCTGCATTGCACCATTACAATGTGCAAGTCTTTGCGTTAAATCAGTAAACTAATCCCGTCCAGGCTTTGTCTTCGGCTGCTCAGCTCCTTCGACAGGATGCACCCAGGACGTCCTATCCTTAGAATAGAACTCCACATGTGGTTTCGCTTCCTTCACGATTTCATCATCTCCAACCAATTTGAAGTCGTCCAGTGCACTATAGAATACAGAGTGTGTGTCCAAAGTCACAGTCAGAATCATACAGCGGTGAACCGCAGAGGCTGTAGAATCTGCGAGACAGCGCATTACCAGGGTCTTGAACAGTGTCTTTGGGGTCACTAACGAGATTCTCCCATCGTGATTCTTATCGTATCCTTTATTCCAGTAGTATTAGTAAGTAATGGATAATACTTCGCATGAGTGTTACGATATGAAGGCTCTTACATTAGCTGGGAACATAACGTTGGTGGTGGACACGTTCCGGTATATTTTTTATAGTTATTGCAGTGGCAGAATGATACACTGCATTTCAATGGGCGCACGTTCAGAGCGTAAGATTGGGGCAAGAAATTACTTACGCACACTATTGGCTCGGCAGCCACTTCAAAGTCGATTTCTTTGTATAAGTAGGAACCATGGTCAGGCAGAGACACTGCACTGCCAATATGTCAATCAGAGAGGGGAATTTCTTTTTTCGTGCAGAGAGAAGCGTCAAGTAGATTGACAATACCAACCTTGCTCGGTAAGCAGAATATCTTCAGCGCAGCGGAAAATTATTGGAGAATAGAGCATCCAGTGAATTTAATTACTGAGTAATGAGCTCGTCGTCTGATCCAAGTAGTAGTGTTTGCCTAATGCCATTGATAATCAGAGGCTTTTCACTCGGCTGAAGAATGCTGTAAACAGCGTGCAAGCTCAAAAGATAATCGCAGTAAAAAAGCGCGTTCGAAGACCAGATGATGCCACGTGACTTGACCGAAATGCCTGCCTGCAGCCTGATTTCCGTACGCGTTGGATTTTAGCTGCTACATTCATCTTTCTGAAGTACTGGCATTCAAGACGATGGCAAAAAGGGAGCATTCCCCACCAACTGATGGTATACTCATAAAACGGGCGCGTGGAGCGACACCACCAGAAACTCAGATTGCTATTTCCTCAACCGGAGATGATAGTAAAAAGGGACTTATACGCTCTGTGAAGCGTACCAGTGGTCTTGAAGCGCCCATTGTCAGCCTTTCTGGTTCACATTCTGTGAGTAGTTGTGATAGACGCTGAGATAGCTCGTGTCTAACACATGTATGTTGGTTAGGCCGAAATCATGAGCTGTAGATTTGACCCTACAGGACAAAATATTGCAGCGTGTTCTGCAGATCGGAGCGTCTGTGCGTGATCCTTTGTTACATGAAATTTAAATAGTGAACTCGAGTTAATTATGGAACGCTTTCAGCTTTATGGAGAACGTACCCTCCAACGTCAAACTATGGATATCTGCCTGCTCTACACAAAGCGCCTATCCTCGACTTACAATGGTCTCTTTTCTCACCGCTTCTCTACACAGTCTCTGCAGACCACACGCTCGTCATGACGGACCTCTCCACGGGCCAGCGGGCTCGAAAAATTCGAGCTCACAGAGGCGTCGTTAATGCACTTGACCGGACGCTCACCGGTGGTGCGGCTGTAGAACTCATTGCGACTGCAGCAGATGATGGCTTCGTACACGTCTGGGAAGGCGGAGACGAAGGTGGAAAACAGGCCGTTGCAACGTTTGAAGTTGGTTGCCCTGTAACGTCTGTTTGTTGGAGTGCGGATGGCTCGACGGTTTATGCTGGTGCATTGGATAACGAGATCCACGTACGTCTTGTCCTATTCAACTTGATTCGATCGACTCATACTGAAATACACTAGGTTTTCGATCTTCGAAAAAGTGCGAAAGTATACTCCCTTACAGGACATACCGATACTCCAACCTCACTTTCCCTTTCACCGAATGGCAACTTCCTGCTTTCCCCGTCTTTCTCTTCACAAGTCATCATTCACGATATCCGCCCCTTCGCTCCAAATCCAACCCGAGTCCATCGAACTCTCCTCGGATCACCAGCAGGATTCGAGAGTACTTTATTGCGGGCATCGTGGAGTAAGGATGATGGAGGCGGACGTGTTGCTGTGGGCGGTGCGGATCGGATGGTGTGTATATGGGAAGTAGAAAGTGGTAAAATTCTCTACAAAGTAAGCCTCTCGGACCCATTGCTCTGCAATACGGCTACTAATGATCGTGACTAGCTTCCTGGACATAAGGGTACAGTTACTTCTGTTGACTTCCATCCAAAGGAACCTATTGGTGAGCGATTTTCTACGAAACTCGAAGACTATGTTAATGATGTACCTTTTCCTGTCGACAGTACTTACTGGGAGCAAGGACGCAACTATGCTTCTCGGCGAGCTGGAACCAGGGATGTCAATGTAGATCTCCATGTATTAGATATTTGCCTCTGTCACATACTATTCTATAAAGGATCTGGGTGATAGTAAAAGCAAGCAACAGGTACTATCAAGTGCAAGACTGCTGTATGAAAGTTGGTAAACGAAAAATCGTGTATTCAGATTTGGAGGAGACTAGAGATAACAAGTAAGCGGGCAGTACATGTCCTAACGATACATCGAAATAAATTAGGCATAAGAACATAAAAAACAGATGGTCACTTCTTCGTCGCCTTAGAGCCAAACGACCTCGCGAATCTCGCACTCGCAAGCTGTTCCATTTGAACGTCCGAAGGAAGCTCATAAAACACCTTTGGATCAATACCAAGCTTCACTAGCTCCGCTCGAGTGACGACTACACGACTTCCACGCGTCTCCTTTTGCTCTCCACATCTTTCGAAGATGTTCTGTTTCTGTATACCAGCTGATGCACCTGAACGAGCGGAACCATCCCGACTTCGTGGAGCGAGTGCTTGTGTGATACGAGAGAGTGGCGTGCCTTTGTTTGTTGTACGTTTCTTGGGAGGGGAGAGTGATGGTGTACGGTCATCACTTATAGCGGAGAGTGCAGGTGACGCTGAACGTCGACTGTATTCAGTTTTGATCTCCTTCTTTAGAGAGTCTGGAAGTGCTTCGAATGATGATCGGTCGACTTGGGAGAAGGATGGAAGAGCGAGGTTTGATGCGACGCCGTCTGCTGGCGGTGGAGTGCTGGGTTTGATTTCTTGCACTTCGTCGTCGTCTGCTGATTGCGAGGATGGAGGTTGTACTGTGAGCACTACAGGTGGAATCTTCTCCTCTTTCTCTTCCTTCTTCTCCTTCGGCTCTTTAGAGACTTTCTTGAATGAAAGCTTAGCCTGTCCGAGTTCTCCAGAATGGGAATTCGACTCGCTAGCCTTCTCGAGCTTCTGAATCTGAATGCCGACTCCGCGCAAGTCGCGTGGATCGAATGCAAAACCTTTGAGAAGCCTCCATGCTTGTTGACCTATTATGAGTGCGTCGCTGGTTGCGCGGCCATCCTCGGAAGATAAACTCGCTTGCTTGTTAAAAATATTGCAGCAGCCGTGTCCAAGGAACTGGGTCGTGATCAACCTCTTAGTCTCGAAAATGAAATTGCATGAAACCTCCTACCTTGGGTGCTTCCACAGGAGCGTCGGGATCGCGTTTCATAACCTTGAGCGTTAAAGAGCGTCCACGCATGTCAACTGCATCAAGTCGCCTTGCCACTTCCTCCGCAAGTTGAAACATAAATGCCTGTGCTTGCTCATTATTCTCGAATCGGATTCCATACTGTACATAATTTAGTAGTGAACAGAAGAAATGGAAAGAAGTCAGACGTACATTGATCTCCGCTGAAACCGACTTTCGCGGTTTGTCAGACTCAATACGTCGGTGATCAATTCCTCGACAGGCGTCATACAATGTTGAACCCAATGTTTTACCAAAGACATCACATAATACACTTCGTGGTTTCTTTGCAAGTTCACCGAGCGTTGCCACGCCAAGACGCTCAAGTGCCTTGTCCCGCGCAGCTCGTCCAAATCCATGAAGCTCGTCCACACATGTGTTCTCAATATGCTTTTGAAGGTCCTCAAGCCGCAGGTGGTGCGAGCCTGCTGGTTTTGCTTTCCGAGTCGCAAGGCGGGCAAGCATTATATTGTGCGAAATGCCTATGCTCACTAAAAAAAACTGTAAGAACGGTGGTCGGAACACAACTTTGAAAGGGTACTTACCATCGCATCCTGTACTTGCTTTAATTTCCGCACGCAACATCTCTGCGAACTCCTTTGCTGGGTCATAACGCTTTTTTGTGGACGGTGGCATCTGCTTGACCGCCGTCGTAACGTCTATGAGTGCCTCATCCACGCTCACAGCTTGAAGGTCATCCGAATGGGACATAAGGATGGTATACAAATGTAGAGACGCTTTCTTGTACCTATATTGCTATTAGTATCATAGCAGAATAGCAACCAAACCCGAGACTTACTTCTCAAATTCATACGGTATTGTGACTACGGATGGGCATAGTTTACGTGCCTGATGAAGGCTGAACCTCAGTCAGCAAATCCCGTCGCTTATAATAGTGGGATGAAATGGAAGCACCTCATGCCCGAGCGGATCCCAGACTCCCGTGCTTTGTAATTCGCACTGGAAACCTCGCTTGTGCTCGATTCTCCGCCCCGTGCTCCTTGAGAATGACATACGACAACCGGTTGGTCCTTTAAATGTGGTCGCGTAAGAAGTCCGACGGACGCAAAAAAGCAATCAAAATCGCAGTGCATTATGACGGTATTTTCCGAACCGACGGCGTCTTGCTCTTTCGCTTTAATCTTTTTACTCGGAGATCGAAGGAGTTGAAACGCGTTTCCTCGCATACTTGTACTTGTGTCTTCCGCCTTCACCTTGCCCACCAATCCGTCCTCCTTAACAAGACCATCCTTACTACTTTCCGCGCCGCCATCTGCATCGCCAGCCCCTCCTGCTCCTTGTGCAAATGCCTTGTCAGCGCGTTCTTGAGCTTCTGCAACTAAAGCGCGTAATTCCACTTTCCATGTACTGAGATAGTGAAGTCTTGAATTCTTGTAGAAGCTGTCAATGAAATCCGCACCCGCTGCGGATGTACGCGTTGCACGAAAATCTTCATTTTGCATTAGGCGTTCTGCATGTTCATTGGCCTTGAACGGAGCGTAGCCAGGGACAAGAGCCGCATCTCTCAACGAAACTGGATCGGTTGAATGCAGTGGCTTTGGTTCTACTGTTGGCTGAGTTGCCTTGAAGGGTTCCTCGTCTTCATGGCCTTGAGCATCTTCAGAAAGAGTTGGTCCTCCTAATGGCTTGCTTGATGACCCTTGAATAAATTCTCGTTCTTCCTGAGTCTTCATGCGCTTTGCTGGTCGGCCTTCATTGTGATCGCGATACGTAACGTTTTCTTGGTGATCTGTTGAGCTCTGCGACAGCTTCTTCATGAAATCTTGGGATAACTTTGCCAGCGTTTCAATATCTTCTTGATGTCGTTTCCTCTTCTCGACGTCATTTTCTACGTCTCCTGGTCCCGGTAGCTCTCCCGGAAAGACTGTCGTGCTGAGAGCCTTGATGAACTCTGGTGTGTCTTGATCAAAGATTTCCGAGAAAGAGGATTGCGCGCTGAGCGTCCCCATCTCTAAAGTGTTATCGCATTGCAGACTGTCGACCTAGTAGTAGCGTTGTGAGTGAATAGGTGGTTCTGTCTTTCGATGGCCGAGTCTGCCGAATCAGGGCCACCTGATTTGGCAAGACTCTCTCAAGCCTTATTTAGCAAACCTTTGACTCGAAGGCAGAACTTGTAAATTTCTCAATTGCCAGCGCATAAGCAAGTCCTTCAATATATACTGTTTGTCCAGAAAGTTTCTCTTTACTTAATTGTTGAGATTCTGCCACATATTACAGAAATTTTCGTGCCCTGCAATAGTCAGTTGCATAACTTAAAGCATGTATATGCTTTCTTCTCAAGAGAACTTTATACAGCATCACCAAATGCCAATACTTTCCTTTTCGTGTAAGATTAATCCAGGCATCTTAAAACAGTATGGCGCTTGTTAAAAGGTTGCATTGTAAAAGGAAGAAATCTAATTGTTTATCCTTGGTGTGTGCTGTATACTTACTAAATACTGATCAACCTGTATCCCTATTTTCTTAGTTTTTACTTACTGTTCTTTCTTGACTAACTTGTGTATATGAATGATGCAATGTTATGAAACTGTTCTGTGGTATTTTTGGTTGCAGTTTGAGTAATTGCTTATTAGAACTCCAATGGCTTACATGGCTTCTGATCCAGCTTTGATCTAGAAATGTCAATAGTTAGCAGACCTTGGATGCAACACTGCTTTCCTTTCACAACGGGTGGAACGCAAGCAGACTTAAACAGAAGTTCTAATGCGGCTGTGATATACGAACATCGCAGGCAGTTACTGCTAATCATTTTAGAGGTCGCTGTATCTCTACTATTCAAGGAATATACGTGCCATAGCGAGGCCACAATGGCGGGGAGCGGTCGGAGTACGGAGAAGGACCGAATCAACTAAATAGTCAAAGATACAAAGAAAGCTCAAAGCGCATTAGATCAACTTCACAGAAAGATCGGTTCGAGCTGATATCATCTTTTAACGATACCTCCGAGGTGGAGAATGTGAATGCGAGTACGGGGACCGTGAACGTCGGTCGCGACGGTCATACGTGTCCCTATAAGGTGGTGAGTCGCGTCCGCGTCTGGGTGGCGGGATTCGTCTGTCGCGTTCTACGATATCCCGGTCCAGATCTCTCCGAGGACGGTCACCGCGTCCAATCCGGCCACGTCCTCCACCAGGCTCGGAGCCTCCTCTCCAGTGTCCTCCACCACGGCCTAGTCCACCAGGCGGACCAGGCGGACTTGACGGACCATTTTTCCATCCGTTCGCGACACCTGATGTTGGAGCTCCGGCTGCTGCTCCTCGAATTGACGCATCCGGAGCTGTTACGTGTTTTGGAAGAATAACGGAGATACACATAAAGTCTCCAGGCATGAATCGCAACTCCTCTAGCGTGCGCCCTGTGTCGACTTCGTCCTCCGAGTCCTGTAATAACCGAGGAGCAGGAGCTTCCAGCGAACCTGGTTCGCCGAGAATATCGCGCGAGTAGACCATACCAAGGTCTCGAGTCGTGATGCGTCCTTTTGTAGAAGAATCAGCGTACAGAGAGCGGAACCCGAATTTTGCGACCGGGTGTCGAATTTCGGTGTTGGTCGTTGTGAGGCGTAGCGTAGTCAGGATTTCTTTCAACGTTGCGTCCCTCCTATATCGTACATAATTAGTATATACGAATATTTATACGTGGTAACTCACGTACCATGTAAAAATTTGGTGCTCGTCCGTCGTTGGCAATGTTCCATCCTCAAAAAACTCGGTTCGATGGTAACCCCCGACCTTAACGAATGTCCGCATTAAAAATGGCGCCGTCTGCACTAATGTAAGTTGCATATCCAACGTGTTGCGGCTTTTGTTTACTTACCTTCTCCCTGTCGACAACTGTCTTTTCCGCCATAATGTTTTCTTCAAGAAGGTCAGAGAACGAACCAACTGTTACTGAAGTAGAGTCAGTGACACAAGCTGTTCATACCACGTGTCACGGACTCGTGACGCACATCGCAAAAACAATTTGGACCCTCACTCATCCTCGTCGCGTTTCACCAAACGCGTGTACTGCATATGCCATAAAGTGTACTATTCACCAATCTTGCCTTACTTTATACAGTTACTCATGAAGATGATCTCAGATACTGCAGTCAAATTTGAATGTTTTATCAGATTTGTGTTCTCCTTTCAGGCAGCTGTCTGCTGAATTTGTCAACGTCAAGAATAAAAAGAGAGATGCTACTGTGTGGAAGAAGCTCTCATGCTGTGCAATGAGGTACGATGTGAACATCAGTTGAACGCCTAAAATTGTTTACTGAATTATGCCCTGGGTCGCACAGCAAAGGAGATGAGTAGGGGTATTATTACATTGCTTTAATCCGGACCCTATGTGTAAGGAGATAATAAAGTCGTTCCGTGATAAGGTACCGCCCTCCCAGCCGACACCCGTTACCTATCCTTCAGATAATCTAAAACAATCTGAACACCAGGATTGTGTCCACTCTCTACTGTTCGTCTTGCAAGTGACTCTGTTGACCAGGTCAGCCGGGAAAATAGACAAGACAGCCTACGTTCATATTTACCTTCGTCCGATCCACTTGGAGTGATGACGAAGTATCTGGGATCCCAGCCATGTAAAGAAAGCTTCACTCCATCAACTCTAGATTCTGGAGTCCAGCCGAGAGCTTCTGCAAGAGGCTTCTCGATGTAAAGACTGTTATTATCAAGCACGACCTTAAACTGTCGAGGTGAAGATGTGGGGGGTAGTGAATGCAACTGGTGTGACGGGATGGATGCAAAACCTCTGAGGCGGTTTACTACCTTCTGCCTGAACATCATCAGTGAGGAAGGTAAGTATGAAATAAGGTTTAGGTCCGTTTCAGGATGCTGTGCTGAGTCAGAGCTTAGTTACAAGTATGGCATAATGTCTGCACGTGCCTCGTGCTTTCTCCATGTTGACAACCGAATTGGATGCGCTAAAAATTGAGTCCCTGTCGTGGCTCACTTTCTGCCTCAACTTTTGACGATATGGACACTTTGGCTTGATCCTTTATGAGCTACGAACTCAAATCCGGTGTTGACTGGTCAAAGCTAGGTTCTTGCCTCGTGTTTTCAACGTTGTTCACGCGGAGGCAACCGGATTTATTCAGCACGAACACAGAGCCTTCGCCCTTGCTCTTGCTGCCATCTCGTCATTGTTAGCCCGCTGTGTAAAATTAAGTCACTATCTATCGAGAGATAACTGATTAGCACATGGGGGCAAACACATCGAAGCACCCTTATGAATATAGCTACGGCGATCCAGCTCAGAATTATGGCTCTTACGGACGCAGAGGTTTTGGCGGTTATGCTCAACCTGCACCATTCTACGGGCAGGCGGGAAACCCTGGGATGTATTCCAAGCCCCGGGGATGGCAACAATCCCCTCAGATAATATGTAAGTTACTGTCATTAAATGTTAAACATTACAGAGCTGATTGACGCAGGTTAGTCCCTCTTGTCATGCATCCAATGCAGCAGATCTCAGGTCCACCTGTAGCACAAGCCCAGCAGCCGTATATGCAGATACCTCAACCCCAGGTACAGCCAGCAGCTGCGAATCCTGCACCACCTGTTCCTGTTCCCCAGGTACCACAGGCATCGGTTCAACTGCAGCCGCAGGCTCAATATCCGCTTTCTCCTGGTCCCGCAAATAGAATGCCCGAACATTCTGCTCCTAACTTTGGGCAAGCACCAGGAGTGGAACCCATCATCCCTCGCTCGTTTACCCGCGCGCCAGAGGGTTCTATCTCCACTTCTACTTCCAGTTCTAGCACTGGAGGCGAGACAACAGACCCTTTGGCACACAATCCGCTACCTCGGCCGCCACGTGAAGCGGACATGCCAAGAGACATGCTAGCAGGTGCAGCGATGGCTCATATGTCTCCTCCACCACCGCGTCGGTCCAGTCCACTCAGAAATCCACTGCCTCCGCCACCAAAAGATGTGTATACTCGCAGAAAATATCGTCCGTTACTTGTTGGGACTGCATATGCGGATCGCCAAAATGAAGTTTTCCCAGATGGTTGGTTTTCAGATGAACGGAGGCTCGAAAGGGAAGGAAGCTTCGGACGTGTCTTTGAGCGTCTGAACCCGTTTAGACCGAGCCGTAGTCCCGAATACGCTCCCGGACACAGGCGTTTCGAGACTATGCCTGAACTACCTAGGCTACCCGAGTTTGTTCGTGATGATAGTACTGCATCTGGCTCAGATAGCAGTATTACGTCGCCCAGGGCACGAAGAGCTGGCCTAGGTCGATCATTCTCTTCGCGTATACCATTTGGCTGGCGAAGACGTGGAGCAGAGCAGATGATGCCTCCTGTAGCTGAGGATCAAGGGCCACCGCCAGGGTTTATGGCGATGTCATCGCCCGCAGTGCCTGGTCCCGCATCCCAACCACAACCAGCGCATCCTCTGTCACCACTTCCGCATCAACAAATGCCGGCCAATCCACTCACACCTGGTGTGCGACCGGGGATTCCTCTCACACCCGGCCCTCAGGCAGGGAATTCTCTCACTCCCGGTCATCAACCCGCATATCCTCTTACTCCTGGCCCTCAACCAGCAAACCCTCTTACGCCCGGTCTACAACCCGGTAATCCGCTTACGCCTGGACCGTCCCAGCCTATGCCTATGCCAACGCCTTCCCATTCCTTCTCACCAGTATTACCTCCCTTAGTCGCAGGTGAAGGACCACGCTCTCCAAACCCCAACGCAACTTCCACTCCTCCTGTAATCCGCTTCGATCAGGACACGCCTGGATACGGTGGTCTGTCACACGTGTCGCCGCATCGCGTTTTCTATGACGGGAAGCTATATCCGACAGCGGCTCATCTGTTCGAGGCACATCGTTTCTTAGGGAGGCGTAATGATTTAGCAAAGCGTGTTCGCAAGACTCAGACGCTTCCAGAGTTGGACGCTCTCTTGAGGAACATATCCGAACACACACGGCATGACTGGGAGGAGATTCTGTTTAGTAAAGTGAGCCATCTATCTCATGGTTTCCTCTGTTGGATAACTTATGATTAACTGTATTAACAGATGGAGGACGTACTGTATCGCAAACTCGCGCAACATCCGGATCTGCGTGAACTCTTACTAGACACAGGTATCGCGGAGATCGTCTATGCAGATGCTTCTGATCCGTTTTGGGGGACGGGTGAACATGAAGAAGGGGAGAACGAACTTGGAAAAACTTTAATGCGTGTCCGAGAGCGCTTGAGATATGAAGCTGCTGAAAGTTAACCCTTTCAACAAGTGCAAATTAATTACGATGGCCGCGTTTTTCCTTCACGCAACTTAACGACTACCATATGCATTCGGATTTCTTCTCAAGTCCTTCATGACTCAGTCTATATTTTGTGGCAGTACTCTCGTATGTACTGATCTTGCAAAACCACTCTGTTTGAGTGCATGTTATTTTATCTCTGGAAGTTCGTTGCACATTTAACACTATCTTAGGTATACCTCCTGCAATTTGCCATTAGCTATACCTTCAACCTTCTCATTTACTTACTAGATTTATTCATATAACTGGTTCGAATGTAAAATGGCTTTTACTTCAGCAACGTCACTTGATTGTGCTTTTTTGGTAACACAATATACGAAGATGCACTTTTCCTTGATTCATTCCGTTTCCAAATAGGGAAGGCGGATTTCCTTTTACACGTACTTACCTTACACGTACTTACATACGGCAACTTGCCACTTTCCTCCTCAATGTCACCAAATAGTCCTCCGCTTTTCTTCACATCGTAATACAGCATTACTCTGAAGAAACGAAAACTATGTCGAGCTCAGAGTTTACCTTCATCCCGAGAAAGTTGTCTAAACATACGCGTACCTCAAATGACGCGTCCGGATTGCGGCTTCCAGCGCAACGGAAGGAAACCCAGGTGGAACAGGTCCCGTCAACACCAGCGTCAGGGAGGAAGCATAAGGAGGAGAAATATCTGGATGACGGGACTTATACAGTGCTTCTTGAGTTAGCACTCTCAGACTACGCGTTATGGTCAAACTTTGAATTATTTGAAACTATGGAGGCGAATGAAGATGGCTGTGAGTAAATTCCACACGACGTATTTTCCATCCAAGTTTGATCGAACTGGAAGTTGTTCCTATTAGCTATCTAATTCAAACTTCGCCGGTGTTCGCTGGGTTGACACCCATTCCGCCTGAAGCGACCCTCATCGGCTGCGCGAGAGCAAGCAAAATATTGGAAGGACGGCTTATAGTCTCGGAAAATCCGCATAGCGACTGGCGTAGACAAGCACGAATGACGGACTCAGAGGCGCAGGGAGGATTTGAGATTCGACGTAAAGACTGGGAGAACGTCAAAAGTTGCATCCGCAAGCTCACTTCTTACCACTGGGACAACAGAACCATCTATGTCGTAAGTGTGTTCTTCAAGCATTTTAGATGCAGACAACTTACGAGAATTTTCGTCGCAGGAAAACTTGCCGTTTCGCGCTAAGTCGTTTTATGCTGTACACGACTTCATTCGAGAACTATTATCAGGCAACTCGAAGAGTCCAGAGCCAGACGTTTCGCCATTACAAAGCGTATCTTTCCCAGCTCATCAGAAAGACAGACCAGATGCTCCTCCACCGACTATTGGAAAGGGCTTTGCATTCATCATCCTCTCGCACGCGAAGGATGTTGATTACCTTCTTCAACGCTGGCCTTGGAACCTCGACGACAGGCCTGATGATCATGCAGGAGGCGAATCGACCAAAGCTATTCAGGAAGCTTCCGAATTGGGCTTTCGATGTATGTCAAAGCAGAGATGGAATGAACTCAAGGAAGAATACCTAAGCCTACAACGCCGTTTACTGGAGAAGACTTTGACCTCGAATGTACCGGGACCTTCGACGAGTAAATCTCCACAGGCCAGCGTGCGTTCGGGTCATCGTCCTAAGATTGTGGAAGGCGAGTCGGTTTCAGCTGATAGCAAACAGAATAGATCTATGCTTGAGGATGAAGTTCCCGCTTGGTTTCCAGTGGGTTGCCTGGTGTTCGTCAAGAACGTCCACCCTGAGACGAACAAGACGACGCTCCGTACTCTTTTCGCGTCTGCATTCGAGAAGGACTCTTCTCGTATAGACTATGTCGACTATACTAAAGGACTTGACAGCGTCTGTTCTCACTTCATATATCTCTGTATGATGTCTTAGCTGACTTGAAGACTTTTTTGCAGTGCTACCTCCGGCTATCAGGTCCTCAGCATGTGCGGACGCTAGTTTCGTACTTCTCAGAGCATAAGATTGTGCAATCGAATCCGTTAGACAATATTGGTACACTTGCCACAAAGGGTTCGTTGATTGAAGTTGAGCTCATCCAAGGAAAACGAGAGGAAATGTATTGGGAAAAGGTACCGGAGAAGATCAGGAAAGCCGCTATCGCAAATGCCCAAGGCACGTCTAGTTTAGAGGAGCCCGTGCAAGAGCAGAATGGAAAAGACGAAGGTGATCGGAAGAGAAAACGAAGAAAACGCGGTTGATGTGGTTGTTGAAAACTCATCTTTCTTCTGTTGGTAGTCCTTGCAAGTTAAGCGGACAACTAGGCCTAATCCCCATTACATATATCGACCATACAAACATGTACATATATTAATACCTGTAAGATGCATTATTGAATAAAGTGCAACAAGAAGCGTCTTTTAGCAAGTGGTGAAACCCGTTTCGCTGCGTCTGGTTCATCTCGAAGGAGAACAGGAGCGAAAATACAAGCTAAATCGACCGCAACGTCAGACCCATTGTTAAATAGGACTATACAGAAACTTCATACCAAGAAGCGATGCCTTTGTGCCACCGCCAGAATTCTCTTCGCCAGGGATAATTTGTTGTGCAAGATAGTGCAGAAAGGCGGTCAAAGAGATCCAGACCTTATTGTACAGAACGAAAGGCATAAATCTCTCAGTAGAAGAAATAGTATGGCAGATTGAAACTTACGTTAACAGAAGTGCCAGGGAGCTCCGATGACATGACCTAAAGAAGCTCTTAGAGGCAGCGCCGCACAAAGCAGAACCATGAACCCATACTTCGAATGCTTCATCTCGATCTGTTGCTTGAGTACAGCGATCTTGAACACTGGCCGGGATGAGAGGAGACGGCAATAACTGGAAGAAATCGAAAAGAACATCCGCGAATGATAGTGCCAATTTACGCCTTTCAGCTTCAGACATGTCCTTAGAGTCGAAGTTGAACTCTTCGCCCGTATCTAACGACTAGATCAAGCAAGATCTTAGTTATCGGGACGACCGCACCAGACAGAGTCTTACCTCTTGGATAGTCTCTTCTAGCTGAGCATCTCCGTGTGAAGTGAAGAGGTCAGGCTAAGCCAAATAATTCATCACAAAAAGAAGTAGCTAGAGTCATGATCTTCACATACAATATTAGTGGCATTTGTCATTAGCCAATTTATCAATCTCATAATTTCTCGCGGGGCGTTTGCTTTTTGCTTTTCGGCAAGTGGCTCTTTCTCTTTGCGAGTTTCTCGAATAGGTCCTGGAAGGCGAACCAATGTCTCGAGTTCATTCGCAAAACAAGTGGGTCCTAGAATCCAGTTTTAGTGACATAAAATAGAAATAGAGGTGGTGGATCGCGTGAAACTCACTGTATTCTCCAGTGACAACAATGAAATGGTCTTTGCCCCGGAACGTATGGAGAATCAATGTATGTTGTAGTTGTGCATTGCCAACATTTAATGCAGAAGCAGAGTTCTCGTCGACATAAGCAGTCAACTTGATCGAAAGCTCTTCATATGGGAGAATTATGCCCTACACGTATTTTAAGTTCTTAGAATTTGCGCTTATTGTTCAAGAGCTCACCATCTGAGGTTCCGCTGAAAGCCATGGGACGACTAGCATGAAAGTAAGATTTATCAAATGTGGAAGATGATCAAAGAACCCACAGGCTGGTTCGCCATCGCTCAATGACACAAAGCGAAATGCACAAGGAATCTATACACAGTCAGTTTGAACACAGAGAATGATTCGGATATAGCAACCTTCCCCGAGTTTTGCAGCGTCAGGTGTTGACTCGTCTTTCGCTTATGTCTAAGCAAAGGTAAACACGAAATTGCGAATTAGTAGGGAGGGGACGTACCGAACCTCCCAGAATTGGACTTCTGACAGCTGGATTTTCATTTTCGGTGTTTCGTCCGATTCTGTTAAGTCACCAACTTTCGCAAGCAGCTCTTGCATCCGCTCATAATACACTGTTTCATCCGCTTCTTGAACAGTTATGACGAATTCCGCAGATACTGGTTTGTGGTCGCTCATTGTCAGCTCAGGGTGGGCGTCATAATTTGTCTGGGTCAAAGAAACATGAGGAGCAACTTGATAAAGTATCCTGTCTGTCCAAGCTGGGCGCCGTCTGCGAAATAGGTAAGCGAGTTCCGGTGGATATGATTTTTTCTTACTTCATATCGTATCCATTCGGATCTGTTGCAACACCGGCACTGAATCGGTAGCTCCTAAGTAACAAAATTAATAATCTATTTTCGTCGATAACGAAACGAACGGATTTCCTCACGGGCGGTGCCTTATTTCTCCTTCTCTGAAGTTCTCGAATGATTTGCCACCGAGTCGAGCTTTTGTCAGCTATGGCGTTTGGAGTGAGAATCATTGCATCAAAGGGACTCGAACCAGAAGAATACCTGGTCATGGCTTAGTAGATCCCGGATATCATAGTTACGCGTTAATGGGCCCCCAGAGATGAGTTCTCGAACTTCAGTATCCGAAAGGTCGATGCGATAATTCAAGTCTGACATGATAAGAGCTAACTTTTGATCGCATATTGGCAGAAACGACATGCATACCTCCCTGTAGACTGGGAATCAACAAATACATCGATATAAGATATGGAAAGGGCAATTACCATCCAGAAAAGAATATCACTTTGGAATATTGACTCAGAATTTGATTCTCCGGCCTCTTCAGAGGACGACTGCTCCGGATACGATATAAACGAGAGGCGTTGCGTAAGGTCACGGAAATCAGAGTTTCTCCGATCAATGTTTTCGTCGAATGCCGCGAGGTGAGCATTTACAACCGTGATTACCGTAGAACCGAGTGTTAGACGCAATGCGACGGCTCCCTTGTTTCCCTAAGACAAGGATTTCAGTGTATGGACGCGTAAAGAAACGAACTACAAATATAATGTTTACCAGTACACCCATTATTCCCGTTCCTACGGAGCTCGTTCTCATGTCTGTTATATCTTTCACGAGTTCCTTTTTGACAAGGCAAGTGACGAGCATGCCGACCAGTTGCTTCGAGATCAACTGTAAAGCCGAAATAAGTCTACAAATGGAGAAAAGTTTGAACGAATGAATAGACCTTCATATACTGATCCCGAACTTCGCCAAGAGCTGCGAAGATGGCCTCAAGCCACATTTCTTCACGCGTTGTCGAGTAGCTGTACAAAAGTGCTTCCGTTGATAGGTCTAATTCCTGAAAACCTAGAAAAAGTATATCTGGATCGCTATCCTGAGGAGAAGCCGTGGCATCGTTCATCCCTGAATTGGTGGGCTTAGCAGACAGGTAATCGGAAGACGTGAATGACGATAAAGAAATCGGTGAAATGGACTTGAGAGCTGGAAGGGATGGTTGTTCGGATGGTTTGTTATGTTGTGGGCGAATCCAGGGTGAGAGGTCCTGCGAAGGAGTCTTCCCGTTGACGTTAAAGGTTCCCAACCGGATGCTGACACATTCAGTCTATCAGTTTATATTCGCAGTAGTAGTGATATGTGTGCCCTACCGAATATTGCGTTCTCCAGTAAAGACGCTCTTATCTTCATCGAGCTTTCTTCGCAACCACTCATTACGAATGTGCTCAATATCCGCATCTTCATCTCCAGGTTGGCCGGCCCAAGCTTCTGAAAGACCTGCATGAGCAGGTTCAACGAGTTTTCGTAAATCCGGTCGCGGAAACAGAGCAGGCACTACACAGTGGGATATCAGTTTGACAAGCGCATTGTTGATCATGAGTAGTCACACCTCGAAGTCTTCGCCGTGCATGGTACTTGTTGAGCCATCTAAAGTCTATATGTGGAGCAGAATCCGCAACTTTGATGAGTCTCCTGCATTCGGAGACGAAGGAGCCAAGCTCTTCGGAAGACTCCGCAAAGAACACGTATTTTTGACCGGCAAAGTTAAGAGTTAATACAAAGGCTAAAGGTAACGAGTTTATTCAATTCGGAAATAGTCAAACAAAGAGACTATGTACATGGACCTGATGCAGGAGCATATTTTCCAGGGCGAAGGTCTATTGTACCAGACCGCGCTCTTGACTGCGCCACAGAAATTGACAAAGCATTCGTCAGTGGGAGCGTCGCAAGCAGCTGGTAATCCAGTTCATTGTCCGACTCCGGTTCTTTCCTTATAACCACAGGCCTGAAGATAAAGACACTATAGAATTCGTAGGTATCAGACTGTATTTTCACTAAACGTAGCTCAACACGAGTACCTGCCTTCTTCCTCAACATTCTCAGAGCTTGAAACAACCGCCAATATATAGCTGTCGTTATTAGAACGCGTGCTCGGAGCGTCTTTATCCTGTACCGGAGACAATTGTGCCGTCAGGGTTGATTTAACCGCCTCAGATGGCCCAAGAAGTTGGTTCAGAATGTCTTCTATTCGTAAGTCTCCTGGGTCCTGATCCATTCTGGCAAATGCGCAAGTTTGGTTAAGTCTGACTTGATGGACGAGGATTAAGCCTTTTTGGTTCTAAACTTCGGAGTACGACACTGGAAGGTGGTTAAGACGAGCAAAGTAGTCGTCAGAGGTAGTTGCTCAGGAGAAGTCAACATGGCAGGCTAAATAGCTGATCTGAAGTGGAGTCTCCGTTCGGCGTTAAGGTTCGAGATCCACGAACCACTTTCCATTTTTAGAAAGTATAACATTAGCTCCCGTTAAATTTAAAGGTTTCAATCAAGACAATTCATCATAAGTATAGCAAACATTATTGTAAACGTATTCTTATTATCCAATCGGAAGCCTGCTTCGGAATAAGATTTAGCTTGTGATGTAAAGAGTGATTGTGTCTCATATTTTAATTTAATATGTTTGCTGCGTTTAGAATGCATTGATAATTTGGGATATCCATCTCCATTGCATAATGTCCAAGTTTATTATTACAACCCTAGAAACCATCAGAAGTTGGTCATATCTATCTCTACACAGTCTAAGCAATGCAAGATTATTGGATAAGACTGCTAATAGTGCACTAAAACCAAAATTGTCCACATTGCCGATGTTAAGGAAAGGAAAGCGCAAAAGCGATGGTTTGCACTATGCACCGACAACGTCTGCTCCAGGAAGTAGCCATCGATAAGTGATACTAAGTCGTTCACCCCGAGGTAGGCTCTCCGACAAACACCCATCAAGACTCTCGACTTCGTCCTCAACGCGTTTCGAAATCCCGTGTGTCCAGGTGTACCTTGCTTCTTCCGTCAAGACAATAACGCTCCGCTCTGGTAGATATACGGCATGGGATTCCGGAGGTATCTCAAACGGTTCTGACGCAGGAGAACAGCCCGAGTCTTGATCGGAGGCTTTCGCGAAATCCATAACGGTCCCACTATGAAGGCTGACACCGATAATCCCATCTCCATAACGCTTTAGCAAGTCAACATGAGGAGTGATCCCTTCGCCGGGTCTGTAGTGATTCAGAATCACTTGTCGAGCTTGACCACTTTCATCGGTTGACGGGAAAAGAAGCGCGTGAACATCCGGAGGAACGACATCTTTCAACAGCTTTTCCAGCGTATCAAGAAGCTCCAGCAGAATGGGAGGTAAGCGGTTGATTGGCTCGCCCTCCAGTTTCGCAGATCTAGCTCGTTCAAAGAGCATGATTTGATTGACGGTTCCATCTTTGAAGTACATTCCCATGCATGCCGTCCACAATCGGTTCGCGATATCAGATGGTATCAATACTGTCGGATCGAGGTACAAGCCAGGTATAGGAGGTGCAGATCGCGATGCTGGATGGTGCTTTTGGACCACATCTTCGATATCCGTAGTGGAACGACTACTCGGAGGCTCATCGAAATCACCATTGCCATCGAATAGGGAGTCATAATCCGAATCGCTGTCAGTGTCATTGGAAGATGAAAGACATGCTTCGCTCAGAGTTAAACCAGAAGGACACGAGGACATATGCGTTGTATCGACTGAATCAGCGTCATCTAATCTCCTTTCCATCGGCGCTGGAAAGTCAGGCAAAGGACAAGTACAATGACAGATTGAAGCGTGTTTACTAGCTCTCGGAAAGGTTTACGGAACCAAGATAGAGGATAACACATCGTAAAAAGACGCATACCGCCCTGCCACCAACATTACTATACCATGATCCCTCTTTGCCAACGATCCCTCTTTGCCAATTTGCATTTACACACAAAACACAACACCTAATACTCTACAAAAATTCATGGGGGTGTGTTTTTACTACTTAAAACACAATATCTCTTTTTTTCTACAAAAAATTTGATAGAGGAATTAAAAACCTGTAAATACTGCTATTTCCACTAGTTGCAAACCTTATAATTAGCAGTTTTAATTTTTATAATCAAGTTAATAAGTTGATATTACTACAAATGTATATGATTTATACACAAGTACTTATAGTATTTTTCTTGAGAGATTTAATAGTGGTTGTAAATTAAAATTAGGTAAAGATTGTTTTGAGAGTGACAAAAGTGACAGATTCCCAGAGCTTGTACTGCGTCTTGCCAGAGCCAAATTTCTGTGACAGAATGTGACAAAGTTGGCAAAGAGGGATCGCATCCCTCTACAGCTCATAAAAAATCGTAAAAATTATTTTGAAAAGATATTGTGCTTTATTATGCTCTGATATACATATATGCAAATTTTCAGATCAAAATATTAAGTGGTTTTGGAGGAATAAAAAATTGGCAAAGAGGGATCATGCATGGTATAGTACGGCAGGCCACCATTTTGATCATGACGTGTACACCATGCAAGGAACGTGGATGCCGTGGGAGGAGATGAAAAGAAACGCGTCGCGACACGTCAACAAGCATCAACAGAGAGATATAAAAGTTCTTTTGAACCTGAGGCTTCAGTAATAAAGAGTAATATCTTCGTCTCTGTCATCATCTTCGTACACACAATTAATTAACCAACTTTATGCAGTAGACTCAGTTTAAGCGGAAGAAACAAAGCCGCCTCCTGGGACTTTGACAGCAGTTCTAAATTGAACGTACTTCTGGTATCTCTCTTGGTATTTTGAAGTTTCTTAAATTCTCCGACTGTCCGACTGTCCGTCCAAGGGAAGCTTGAACTACACCTGGATGTGCTGTTCCGGAATAAAATCCGCCATGCATTTCTTTTCTTTTAATTCATAGGTAGCTCTGTGTAGCTGTTGCTTCCTGCAGTCCATGCTAACACTTCCAATCGATCCCTGTAGTATCAATTACAGACGAGGACAAACCGACTAGCTTCCCGATGAGTTTTAGCATAGACTAAAGGAGAAACTAAATTTAATGGTTTAATGAATGGAATAAAGAACCTGGATTCACCACACTCACCTATACAACCTGACGCTCTTCTTCCGAACATCTCCCGGAGATTGACCTTGAGAATAGAGTGGTCTTGTGATATGTGCTTACCTTAGACCGCAGCCTGAGAAGGAATGGCCACAGCCAATGGAGACAACAATCATACACATTCAATGTCAGTGACACAATATGGATACACTTCACTTGTAATTCGGCACATGTGATAATAGTGACTCGATACCCTCTAATACTCCTAATACAGATGTGCATCCTTCTCCCATGCCAAGCAGCAACAAGTGACAAGTCAAGTTAGTCAACAAAGGCGGGTTGTGATGGATGCGAGTCAGCATTTAGCACCGCCACGCAGCGCAAGGACGAGGTGAAGGACGTCTCCTGGCTTAACTCCTACTTCTGATGCGGTCTTCTCATCTTGCCTATATACAAATACCGCATATACATATGCAGATGAGTAGATGCGTGAAAGGTGTGAACGTTAGGAACTAGAAGTTGGAGAAGAGAGGGAACAAAGGCGCACATTTGTCGACCACCATGGATAAGACGTTGTTGTTGCGGCGGTACACCAGACTGTTCTTCAACTTTCTCCTTTATGCGGCTAACCTACAACGTGAGCCGAGTCGTTTATGAGTAAGGACGGGAATAAGAAACGTTAGCCTTTGTCTCAACAACGCCGAGCATTATGCATATACCTGGTCTTCTTCGTCGATGTCGAGCTCGATCTGGACAGGTCAAGACAATGTCGAAATCAGTGAGTCATCCTATCCCAGTCGAGCTGTATTACGCACCTCTCGCCCTGTCAGAGTCTGCATAGACAAGTAGTCCACGAATTAGCACGTCCACCAAGACGAAACGCGTCAGTTATTTGTTGTCGAAGTACTCACCTTAACCTTGATCCTCATGGTAAGTAATTTATCTTGAGACGAAAGGAAATAACTGTTCGTATAGACGAGCGTGAAAGAGCGTGAGTTGATATCGTGTGAGTGGTTGCAGAAAGAGATGAGTGGACGCCGAGGTTCAGGCTAAGTAAGAATCTATGGGGTCCACAAAGGGATCCCGGCGATTGACGAGTGATAAACTCGATAACGTAATTCGCTATATTTGGGTACCTTGCTAATTAATTATTACACCTTTGACGTCCTTGCGCTTTTACTAGTTTTCACTGTATTTACTCTTGCTTTGTTCAAGCCTTGCGTTGATTCTATTACAACTTTTTCACAGTACTGATACGGTAACATATCTTGACGTATTGCGTCCCTTGTGAAGATAATAACACAGATTTAAACAACAGCTGACGCATTCGAGCGTCAGTAGTAGAATCAGTACTAGTAGATCTAACACGATTCTGTCGCAATATTTCACTTAAATCGAAGAACATTCCCGGGCTTGGCTACTTGAAGCTAGCAATTGATTTTGGCCCACAGAGTACTAGACTTCGAAAGTAATAAAGGGATATTACTTAATTTTGCAGTCAAGGTGGCAATGTACCTCAAAGATGGCAGCTTTAATCGCTTCTCCCTTGAAGGTTTTAGTTGTTATCTTTGTTGACAGGTGTATTATATTCAGTGGTTCGTGTAGTTAGATACTTGAAAACTTCTCATGTCTGTCGTACGCCGTTACTAATGTATACGTGCCAACTCAATTTAACCTATACCCTAGTAGTGAAGGCGGTGCATGGCATATGCTTCTGTTATTATGTGTTGCGTCTGGCTGCTCCTCTGATACTTCATGTTAAGCATTTAGGAGAACATACTGCACCTTATTATGAGCCTGTGCCATTGACAATGACTAGGGAAAGTCGATTAGCAAATCTGAAATTTGCTTCCACGTTGTTGACTGCACGACACATGACGGAAGCAAACTTCACTAATGTCCAAGTGTCCATTCAGAAAGGAGTATTGGGCTCTAATATTTAAGCCGTACGGAGACATTGTTTAGAATTTAGACATATCTGACTATAGCTTGAGAAAAAGTTCTCACCATCTGCTGTACTTTAGGGAGATCTGCGGGATGCATCGACACTTTTCCTGATTGATTGAAGTGATTGAAGTGGGCAAAAGAGCGAAGTTGCACCGGATGGCAAAGTCATAGGCATGAGCCAAGTTTGGACGAGGAGATCGCACGCCACCCTATACCAAATACTTGCTTACTTACGGCGTCGGACGAGAGGTCTGACCGCCACGGTATCGGACGCCCTCGGCACAGTTCTGTCTCTCTCTGTTCTTTGCTTCCATCTTCAACCTCATCGCCTTTGAAGCGATTCACTTGCTTGGTTATTGTTCTGCAATTAGCGAAGGAAGGGTAGCCGAGCAGGTCTCGGGTGGACTGACACGCGGATCGTCTCACAGTCACGCCTGTTTCCTACAATTAGCCAAGGCACACGTTCCACGCGATAGCTTGCTCTCAGGTTCTCATCCCTCTCTTCCTCTCTTCCTCTCTTCGACCGTCGCCCACCTCAGCGGTGACGACGGCCAGCGACATCCATCCATCATCGCCGACCAGATTTCATTTCTTAGGATTTCTTGGTATTCTCTCTTAACTAGACTTGACGCACACCTCATCTTGGACACGCTTCAATCGCAGTCCACCCTAATCTAGGCGGTCACGATGCCGGAATACGTCTATGCCCTGCATGATTTTGTTCCGGAGCACGAGGATGAGATTTCCTTCAGTGCGGGCGACCGCATCGAGGTGATCGAGAAGGATGACATGTACGGCGATGGTTGGTGGCAGGTATGTAGTTCTCTATACCCTACTCCCAATGTCCCGTCTTAAATCAATCTTCTCACACAATTATCTACGGTTTCTCCAGGGCAGAAATTTATTTGGAAAAGTTGGACTATTTCCTCAGAGTTACACTACTTCAGATCCTTCCGTCGTACAGAATCCCGCAGCGCCACAGGCGAACGGACACGATGCAGCAGCCTCTGCAGCCGCTGCCACCACTGCATCGTTGCAGACACTTAATGAAGAACCAGAGGATGCTTCTGCTGCTACCCCTGAAGCCAACAAGAAGGATGAGGGTCAAGGGGTAATGAGAGCAACGCTGACGGATGTCCAGGAAGCCATTGAACAGCTCGGGCGCAATGACCGGGACGGAAACGGCAGCTTTAGTTTCGCGAGCACTCACACCGATACCGACCATGATACTGACACGGATGCCAATTCAAATGCGGATGGGTTGGGAGGCGAATCCTGGCATAAGGGTGCACGCAGTAACCTTGCGGAGAAAGCACGGCAGCAACAGGAGCTCCTAAAGCGAGAACAGGAAGTCTACGAGGCAGAACTGCAGCTGCATGCACCGGTCCTCACGGAGCAGACTTCGGAGCCACCCATTGCGTTTGAGATGAGTGACGAGAGTGAGGACGAGGGAGACGAGGAGCTTGAGCATGGTCCTGCGGCTGGCATGCTTTTCCCGCGCCGTGAGCATGAGCACATCTCAGAGGAGGAAGAGGATGACGCAGTCTCCGCGAGGCAACAACCAAATGATCATCCCGTAACGCCTAGAGCCGTTAGTCATTCACCAAAGCATTCACCTTCACCAAAGCAGAAACCGAGCTCTATCAGCACCCCTGAGAACGGAGACGACTTAGAAGGACATCCACCGGAGACTGCTCGACAGGTCTCATTCCCAACTGAGAATCGATCAGCAAGCGGGTCACCTTCTCGTGGTCTCGCCACTAAGGAACCCCATCTGGAGAACGGTGCCAAAATTAACCAAGTACGCGTAATCCTTATACGTTAATCATGACACTGCTCACCTTTGCTCTTTCATATTGCACAGCCAACAACCAGGGGATCCCCTCGCCCTGCTTCACGGATAATCAGTCAGCCAAAAGGCATGCCACCTCAAGGGCCCTTACCATCGCCACCGTCGTCTCAGAAGGGTTCAGCTGCCAGTCAGGCACCGAAGTATCAGACGTCACCGCCATCTGAATGGACTGTGGATGATGTTGTTGAGTGGGCGAAGAGCAAGGGCTTTGATGATAGTGTGACCGACAAGTTTGTCGGTAAGTCGTATTTGTTTTATTCCGCGATATTGCACTTTTTAACATTATACTTAATGGTAGAGCACGAGATTTCGGGTGATGTGTTACTCGAAATCGACGCCAATGTACTTAAGACTGAGCTAGAAATTCACGCGTTTGGCAAGCGCACACGTATCGCGAAGGAGATTGCGGCGCTCCGGCCACCACCTCCGGAACCGTTGCAGCCTCCTCCGTCAGATTCTCTTATTCATAGCCGTAGTGCATCGCAAAGTGTTTCTTTGCCAGGCTCCACTCACCACTCAACTCGAAGTCCTTTGGGATTCGGAGCCATGCTTAGTCCTGAGAGTCCGCCGCATACTGGTGATCTTGCTGGCACTCCGGCTTTCGGCACGATGCGCCGAGACTCTGACCCAGGTTCATCGTTGCGTGTTAGTGAGACGGACCAGGAGCCCGAGTCGTCGACAGTGAACAATTCAACTGTGAGTAGTTCGACAATGGGACTGGGCATTAGCATGCCTACTGGATCTGGGGAGCGCCTCGAGCTACCGAAAGGGGTATGTTCTATTTTGACTGACTATCTCGTTTAATGAAACCTTTTCAGAAGAACCGACCCGCACATCTTAATCTGTATCCGAGTGACCCAGCACTAAACTCGAAATCGAAGATGGCGAAGTTCTCGCCGAAATCCATTGCGGAAGAGTCCCTCAGAGAGGAACGCAGTGCAATGAGTGATGTACGTGCATTTCACATGTCCTCACATATGCATTGAAATTCATTGGCTTCATGTCCCTTTTAGACGGAATCCCCGCTTGCTCTCGAATCGCGAAGCAAACGCCGTAGAATATTTGGTCGTTCAACAGGTTCAGCGAACTCGGAACAAAAGGAGAACGGAAGCCGTAACTCGAAGGAGCACCAACGTGACATGGGTCCTGCGACGCCGAACTCATTATCAACAAGTATTCCGGGCAGCCCTTCGACGAAACGCGGATCAACGGAGGATGGAAGCGTCAAGTACCCTCAACGCCGTAAACGGTCTGTTGATACTTCAAAACCTTCGGACCGACTCAGCCTGTTCGGTGGTAGTTTGTCATTAACTCGGTCCAGAAAACCAGCACCTCGTGTACAATCGTGAGCAGCTCCTCTCCTTTTCTGTAATGTGTTATCTTAAGTGGCTTCAGATACGCACACGATGACCTGTTAACCGAAAAGCAGTCGCGTAGCTTATCAAGGCTTTACCTTGGCGGTGGGAATCGCAAAGCTAGTGGAAAGTCTCAATTGACGACGGGGTCTGGTAAAGACGATGATGTAGACCCACGAGTACTGCGAAAGCGGACTACTTCCTCCCTTGCGGACATACCATCTGTACCTGGGCTTCCGGGGACATTAAAGGCAGGGCAGAGCGTGCTCGAGCAGATCGGAACCCCAGATCATAACGGATGGATGCGCAAGAAGGGCGAGCATTACAATACGTGGAAACTGCGATACTTTGTATTGAAGGGCCCTCATTTGTATTACTTACGGAGTAACAGCAAAGCGGTGCGTTGTTCAGGTTACACGTACGTGTGGAATGAGGTACTGACGTGTCTTTACAGGAAACGAAGATCAAAGGTTATATTAATATCATCGGCTATAAGGTTATTGTCGATGAGAACATTAATCCTGGAAAATATGGATTCCGCCTCATCCATGAGACTGAGCGGACTCACTACTTCAGCTCGGACGAGTCGATAACTGTCCGTGAATGGATGAAGGCTTTGATGAAAGCGACTATCGGACGAGATTATACCAGTAAGACCATTTCTTCTTGAGTCAAAAACTCGGCTGAATTTAGCTTTGAATAGAACCTGTCATCTCGTCATGTAACATCCCCACGATACCGCTCTCTGTTGCTCAGACCATGAACCCAGCCCCACGGCCACCTTCGCCAACGCAGCGGGCCGCCACGCAAAAGGCATTGCGGCGCGAAAACCCGAATCAGTTGTCAAGTAGGGATGCACGTATTCTCATGGGACTGCCTCAAGCACAAAACGGTACTGTTAATGGTAACGAGAATGGTGGTCCAGTTGACATGCCGCCACGTATTGGTGACGACCTCTTCAATACGCTTGAATCTCTTCCTGAGAACCCTCAGGAGCAAGTTCCTACGCCACGCAGTGGTGCAGCGACCATTAGTGCACCACCTCCGGCCCGACCAAACAGAGAAACCCGGAGGACAAGCGTACCGGCTGTTGATGGTGTAGGCCCTTACCAGTTACTTTCTAACCTGCATCGTATCTAAATATTTCTTTCCTCTTTCTTTTCATGCTTTAATGATCTACGTTGGTTATGTATCCGTTGCTGCCAAATTTATAGCCAAGTGCGCCGGTAGACTTGATACGATGGGCAAATAGCTATCTACCTCCGAACCTCCAAGTGCAAGAGAACAGTGGACAGGTCTATAGTAAGGACGCGCGGTTTATGCGACCGTATGAAGCAGAACTCTAACCACTCTTCTTCCTTTCCTTACTTTTCCCAGGTGGTCTAGCTCTCTATCGACTCGCGGAGGGTATCAAAGGGAAGCCATCGGATCCGCCGGTCCCCGATTCTGCGTTCCCATCTGGGCCGAATGACGACCGACTTGACGGGCTCTTTAAGCTGTTTGACTTGTTCCTTGATAATGACATTCGCATGGGGAATGTGAGTATTAATGATGTGAGACAGGGGAGGACGGATAAGATCGTGCAGTTGCTGCGGTCGTTACGTGCGTGGGAGGAGAAGAGGAAGGCTGTTGCGCGGTCGATTGGGAGGAGTGCGGTGTCTGCTGGGCCGTTCATGGCTATGGAGCCTGCTGGCACTTCGATATCTGGCGCTTTGCATGCTTGGTAAAATTGAGTGTATAGATTCATACTACTTTTCCTTTCTTCTTCATGTTTGTGCTTCGTTTCTGGATCCCATGCTTTGCACGTTCTTTTTGTTTTTATGTAGTCATTCTCGTGTGTTCATCCGCGTCACCCTCCACCCCCTCTTCTAGCTTTTCATTCATGGACACGTTGCTGCCTTAATAAACGTTTCTTCTTTTTCCTAAGTTCATTTCACTTTCCGTAATTGTAATGTTTCATGTTATTTGAATTATTTTTGCACTTCTTTTACTTCTTTTACGTGCGATTGATTGATTGATTCTTTATTTCTTCAGCTGTCTTGCCTCTTATTTGTTTCGCCTTTTTGTTTTGGCAATGTGTATTTACCATGACATATACATGCATTCCATCATCTTGCCACTTGGACTTGGAAGAATCGTGATTAGTTGTTTACTTTGCGTGGTTATCCCGACTTGTATACAATGAGGTATCTATTCTCTTCGGATGTTGAAGTGATATGCCACAGCACTTTTTTTGCAACGTCTAACAATACAATATACTTACATTTTAGGTTTTATAATCAAATCTGAGGACTTTATATATGACACAATATGCCTAATATGTGTGTATTAATAATAAATTCAAATGCATTTTAACGCATGTTTTGGTGACATGCTGTAACTGATTTCCTGAATGAGTTCTGTTTCAGCAAGATAATTGATGTCCAGATATGGGAACGTCGATCTCCCTGCCCAAATTTTGAAAATTGTGATACTGATTACTACTGCTTGACTTTCTACCCTACTCCATGTCTTCATCACTATTGAAGGTTGAACAAGCTCTCCTAATCGGACAATGGGATGGTTCAATCAAAGAGTCCGACTCCTCTATCTACAAGCTTGCTCACCAGACAACAAACGGGGAGTTCAAAGCTGTGCTGACTTCGGGGTCTGCGAGATCTTTGCTTAGAATCCGCCTCTCTGGAGCCGAACTTTGGGATAACTCGATTGAAAGTTGGTTCGAGTTACACGACTTGGAAGAGCTATCTGTTGAAGAGAATGAACTGTTACGTCTCATAATCGGGATCGCATGCTTGCATTCTTTCATCCAAGTCAACTGGACTGGGCCAGATCTAGACATCACACCATCGGATATTCTGTTCAACAAGACAATACAGACAAACATTTCAAATGATGGCAATTCTAAAGACTCATCCGCTCCTGGATACGAAGAACGGTTAAACAGGAAAGCTATAGGAGAACTAGCATATGGTGGGGAGCCAGCGTATCATCTAGCGCAATCAACTGGGTTTTTCCGACTTGCACAGATACTATTCGACTATTCCTTCTCTGTATGCCGGTCGGGGGCGTGGTGGAGACTTCGCGCAGCACGCATACATCAGCATATTCTAGACGAGCCTGTTCCTGTTCCTCCGGGCTTGACGGACCCGCTGGAACAACTTTATTCGGATGTTGCATCGGAGAGAGATCTCGCGGGGCGGTTGGCACTGGAATGTGGGCTTTTGGCGAATATAGTTGGGAAGGAGAAGTATGCGAAGGAGTGTTTTGTAAGAGCGGCGAGGTATACGGGATTGGAGTATGAGTTGACGGGCGCGTTGGGTAAGAGGACGAAATTCCAACAGACGGAGGTCAGTCAGCTTGTATTGCTAGCGGAAAGCCGTACGAGGTCCAATGAAGAAGAGAAATCCAGAGCCGATCTTAGGAAGCGGGATGATACTGGCGAATTGGATATTGATGAGCGTAGGGCTAGCGGGAAGACGCGGCTTACCGTAAATTCGGAAAATGGAGAGACGGACGCGTCCGAGTTCGCTGCAGTCGCTTTACCAGAGACTCTTGCACTAAACGACGATACGCTTCTTGAACAAACCGTGTTTACGTCTTCTTCCGTCGGCGCACCAGGTTCGAGACTTGGCCACCTAGATCCATCTGCACAACCGCCTCTACATCCCCTCGACCAATGTATCCTCTTGTCATTATGTCTCAACGTGAAAAACACTTCGCCCGCACATGGGTTGACTCAAGAACAAATGAAACCGTACGTCGCGCGAGTAATTTCGCATCCGCGGAATTGGTCTGTCCATACCATGGCACTGCTCCTGCGATCCCGTCTCGAAGCGGAGCGGACGCGTACCGTCGAGCGCTCCGTGCTCCAGCTTCAAGCGCTTGTGGACCAGATGCCTAGCGCAGATTCGCCACTTTCAGAACGCCTGCTGTACATTCATTCCCTCCCAATGCCAAGTAAATGGGAATTGGAAGGCGAATTGGCTATGCGGTTCCTCAGTCTTGGCGTCGTACGTTCTGCGCTCGAGATTTTCGAAAGACTTGAGATGTGGGAAGAAGCAGTGAAGTGTTGGCAAACTCTGGAAAAGTCTGCTACTGGTATCGAGATTGTACGCGACCTCCTGGAAGGACGAAAGGAAGAGTCAGAGACAGTCATACAACGCAGCAAAGCCACCAATGAACGGCGACGGCCCGCCCTTGATGTAGCGCGTGAGGCAAAGTTATGGTGTTTACTAGGGGATCTAGAGCCTCAGAACGCGGTAGAACACTACAGCCGCGCCTGGGAGGTCTCAAGGGAGAAGTCCGGCCGTGCAATGCGCTCGTTGGGCGGATACTACTTCTCACATGGAGAGTTTGCGAAGGCCATTGAGTGCTTACGAAAGGGCGCCGCAATTAATCCTCTACTGTCTCGCCCGTGGTTCATCTTAGGCTGTGCGTGCGTCCGTGAGGAGAGATGGGAGGAGGCAAGAGACGCGTTTTCGCGCTGTGTTTCGATTGACGATGAGGATGGCGAGAGTTGGAACAACCTTGCAAGCGTTTATCTGCGGATGGGTTCAACTACCGGCACCGTTGATAAAGCGGACAAAGAAAGTGAGGATCGTGCAGAAGAGGTAAAGTAATCAACGCTTTATGATGAAATTCGCACTCCTTTGAGCAAAAATTGACCGCGTTAAATCATGTTTCACAGTCTACAATTAAACAAGAGTGGGAACCACATGATTCCATTCCCCTGGCGAACAAACTCCTCGCGTTCCGCGCCCTCAAGACCGGTCTGAAGCATAGCTATGATAATTGGCGCATGTGGACGAATTACATGATCGTAGCGATGGACGTCGGTGAATTCGCAGAAGCGGCTCGAGCGCAGGCGCGTGTTGTAGAAGAGCGAGCAGCTAAAGTTGGAGCTGATGCTGTAGACGAAGATGTCCTTGACCGACTTGTCGACGCTGTCATCCGTGCCCCAGAGCAAGTAGAATCCGACACACCTGTTACCCTTGATGAACCCACAGTTGTGGTCCCGGGCTCAATAGGTGCAAGTAGATCTCCGAATGAAGGTGAGGGCCTCCGACCTCGGGTGCTTGACCTTTTTGAGCGAGTTATCCTTCCTCGAGTCTCCTCGCAACGTATGTACCGGGCATATGCCCGCCTCGTTGCGTCACAGGGGCGCTGGTCGGACGCAGTCAAATATTACCTGGATTCATATCGATTAAGCTCAGCAGCCATGATGGAAAAGGGCGGCGAGGCTGATAAGACAAAATGGCTTGATGCAGTCAGGGATGTAGAGGAGATCGTCGACGTCCTACGCAATTTCGGTCCCCGGGCCGAAGATGAGGAAGGGAGGAAAAGAACGGAGGAAAACACAGAATCATCAGAAGTAGACGGTGTGATGACTCGACCTGGCAAGTGGAAAATGCAGGCACGGAGTATTATCCGCACCTTCATGGCACGCACGCGAGATGCATTCGAAGATGATCCAGATTGGTCGAAGCTAGTGGAGCTGCTTGAAGAGTTGAAGCAATAGAGTTGGGTGGAAAGATATCGCGTGCTCGTTGCGAAGAACGCGGGAGAGCAAGGTTCGAGGGACTGATAAAATTTGGTCATAGGGACTATGGACTGAGGTCAGAAAGGAGATCCGCGCGTGGAATTCCGTGCCGGCCCTGTGAGACGGCGCCAGGGTTCCCAGATGGGGGGCTAGGAGGTCGAGAGGATTGGATGACTTCCCATGGTGGTTCAACACGTGTAGATGCGGATGGCCATATAAATGTCATTTGTACTCATAGCACCAAGAGACATTGAGACATCAGCAGACTTTGTTGCACAGAGTCCGCGGCTCAACTGGAGCTCGGGCGAGAAGTAGAGAACAGGGTCTCGTAATTGAGGCGAATAGGTGAGATAAAGAGAAGAATAGATATTGGATTCGTAACGTGTTGGCAGAAGGGTATACTTTGTAATAGTGGCGGCGGCGCATCCAACGTGAATCACGTCACTTTCGTTACCAAAATTGTAGTCGTTTCGCGGCAAGGTTAAGCGTAAGAGTCGTCAGGATCTCGGTCACAATGCTCAGGCAGGTATATGATATCGTGATTTGAGCGTCGTGTTCAGAGTTTGGCGGAGCCTTCTCCCAAACGGCATAAACATTGAGAGCATCACAGAGCTGATAGGAGAATTAATGGTTTTCGGGAACACAAGTCGCGATACGGGTGACACAAACCTCCATTCTCTCAGAAGAAACAGACTTCCATTTGAACTCTTTCCCACCCTGAGCATTAAAGTAACGCGAGCTGCAACGATCGATGAGAGAGGTGCGAGTCCGGAACGGAATACTCCACGTACTTGCTTCCTTCTTTCTTCTTCCGAAGATAATATGACATGGCGACTCGTTCACCGTTCCCGTACGCTACCTGACCAGGCGAGTTGAAAGGTCCGAAATATAAGAATGCACTCCGAGGACCCATGACTTGCGTATGTTGGGCAGCCCAATCATCATGTCGAGTCAACTGCACAACAACGTTTGGCACTTGTACGACCTTTCAAAACATCAGATACTGTCCGATCGACGGCAATGAGATTGGAGGTCCCTTACTTTGGACCTGAGAGGTTCCATTGAAAGTGAATAAACACCCATTATCTAACTTCTGTAGATGAAAATACTAGGGCCACTCACGTCGTGAACGCGGTTTGTTCGTCTGAATCCTCGAACTGGTAATTGAAGGGATCGGTCCCATACTGGAGCAAAACATACTGTGTAGAGGTCGCCATTAGGAGTTACAAGTCAGATAGGAAGACAGGCTTGGTGGGGTGTTTCAACTTCGTTCATAGGTCGTTCTTAAGTATTTCTCTCAACTTCGGGATACATCCGCCGAGAACGGTATTGGGCTTCGGTCACCACTGCCACATGAAAGCCATGTGGCTTTCCACGCGGCAGTCCTTTCGGGACGAGACGAATTTGGCATCAAACATTCCCGCATATTAAAAACTTCATATTTTCGGATTCGAGCTCGTGGGCGGAAGAAGCGGAACATGGAAAGCGCCAATCGCTCACGAAGAAAGCCAATAGTCGGTTCCCAAAACCTACCGATTACGATCAGGTCCCGGATGCAGGAAAGAACAGTTATGCGGCAAAGTTGGAAGAAAGTTTCACTTCTAACGTTCAGTACAGCGAAATTGAAAAATGCGGGCCTTTGATGATCAAGTAGAAGAATGTTGCCTTGCTCAGACATGTATGTCAGGGCTGCCAAATACAGATGATATTCCGCTCGATCGTATCTTTGGCGCCAAGAATCAGGGACAGCAGTGCTAAATAGGTTCTGCAAAACGTGCGTTTATTGCGGCCGAAACGAACATTGAAACCGAGGACCCCATCTCTTCAGTCGTATACTTCATTAGAGATGACTTCGTCAGCTGATTTTGTTGTGATCGGGATAAGCGGGAAGATAGCTACCATGTACAATTCCTGTAAAATTGGAAGTCAGTTTCAAGCGATAATATCGGACCAAAGAAGCCCCCAGGGCGCGATGAAAGAGGGGTGCATGATCATCTGAAGCAAACACGACGTACCATAGAAGAGAGTCCAGACTAACACGAAGGAGAAGACGTTATCCTGCCCAGGGTTCGCTAACTCCCTAACGCCACCGGGAATGTACTTTGCTGGCCGTCCCTTGCAGTTGACGACATACATGCAAGCGGCGGTAAGCAGTGTCGAAGCCGCAAAGAAGGCGAAACCCAGCCAGTTCTCCAACCCCAAAATCCCGGCAACCGCGCCCGCAAAGCACGAGGACAGGAACTTGATAGAGTTAAGAGCACTGTTATGCACAACGTTTGGAGGGTAGATGAGGCGCGTTGAGTCGTCCTTCACCGACGACATGGTGGTCTTGTGGTCGTCGTTGGTGTCAGAGGTGGCAAAATCAAGAGCACGTGCTGGCGACGCGTTAATTGACGCGTCATCCACGTGATTAATAACTAATTCTGGATAAAAGGATACACAACACAACTGTGTTTCAAGCCCTAATGCCTCTCCATGATTGGCCCACTCACTCAGAATGTCACTAGAATGCATCAATGTCATACAGCACATGAGTACCGTTTTCTGTCCCATTTATTAAGGATCAAACCTAAGCGAGTCCTTTCTGTAGAATCGACGATCCTGATCGAGCCCCTTACGTGAGTTACGTTAATACCTCACAAGATGAAATCGTCGTATAATGGAAACATACATGCCATGTTATAAAACATTTAATCGATTATAAGCGAGGGTCCTTCCTGTCATGTCTTCTGTGCTTCTGATAAACCTAGTTAAATAGAGTCTCCGCATGCCCTTACTAAGTTACTATGAGTCACATAGATTCCAGACCACATGTAAAGTGCGTGCGAGAAGGTTAATTTCCTATTTGAGTACGATAATAGTCGTTGCTTCAGTGCCAGACGTAATAAAAAGCATTGAGGTCGTGAGTCCACTCTGTGCTGCTCTCAATAGCGTTTCGTAGTTAAGATGACTCTAAAATTCATCAAAGGACGTTCTATCGTGTCTACTTCTGACTAGCTTAGGTGGACCTACACATTTCGGGGACCTGAAGCTTACTTAGCGACAGAACGAGAAGCTCACAGTATCAACACCATGACAAGATGTGAGGTACCTCATAACTTACGTTTCATAACGATATGAACAGGTTGTGAAAGTTACTTGAGGAATTTGCGTAACAGATACGTATTCTGGCCAGTGAATACCGATTCTATCCACAAGGGACAGGTCGCATCGAGTTTGCTCAGTGAGTCATTCAGATCTCTCAAAGGTCGAGGAATGGCAGCATTACTACCAAATGAAGAGAACTCCAAGAAAAGAGAATGTTGTACCCAACCGATCGGACTTCAACATTAATAAAGAATAAACTTCGATCTGTACCCACAGTCATTGTCTAAGAAGCAGGAAATCCTGAGATGCGCATGATAATCCAAACGCCCGGCTTCACGATCTTCGGTTTCCATGCTGCCGCAAGGCTTAAACCGAGATTGAACAGGTAATTGCTCTGATTGCCGCAACAGGAGATCTGCTACCAGCGGTAGAATAATCGTTAGATTGAAAGGGAAAAAGAATCATGGAGGAACATGAAGGCAACTGGTAAAGAAAAGGTCAAACAGATTAGTTACGTGACGTGACGTAAAACCAGTTTCCCTGTCACAGATCGTGTGACCTAAGCAAGGCATTTTTAGACGCTGATCGTCTTAATCATCTGCATTGTTCCATTCCAAAGCACTATTCTCTCCTCTCCACGCTTGAGTCCGTAACTCCTGACAATCTTGCGAACATGTCAAACAGAACTTTAGGCAAGTCGGCTCCGCAAATGAACGGATTGACTACAATCCAAGTCCTGACGTCGCCATGCATTGAAAAAAGTTTTCGTCACTGGAAACGCGAACAAACTCAAAGAAGTTCGTGCAATCCTGTCTGATACTTCAGATGGTTCCGCTCCAATCAATTTAGAGTCGAAAGACTTCAACAGTGAGCAGCATGCATAGCTCCAGCACAAAATTCTGCCTGTCTCATAGGTCTTCGTTTTGTGATTGAAATTATTATGCTAGTCCCTGAATTACAGGGAACAACTCAAGACGTAGCTCGCGAGAAGTGTAGACGAGCCGCGGAGTTGGTAACTTCTTTCATCCACATGGTGCTCTAACAGCGCCTGACTTAATCTCTCTTGAACCGTTCGGAAGGTGGGTGGTCCGTGTATCACCGAGGATGTGGCGTTATGTTTCAAAGCTATGAATGACCTTCCTGGACCTTACATCAAACACTTTCTTAAAGCTCTCGGACCAGGAGGTGCGTTCTTAGCTTGTCATTTCAACCTATGGTAAATCATAAATTGTCTAACACGAATCATTTATCTATCTATATTATATTTTGATTTGATCTGCAGGCTTGAGTACTCTCCTCGAAGGATTCCCAACAAACGATGCATACGCAATATGTACTTTCGCATATAGCGCCGGTCCTGGAACGGAACCTATACTTTTTGAGGGGAAGACACAGGGCAAGATTGTTTCACCGCGTGGGCCCCAGGATTTTGGATGGGATTGTGCGTTTGAAGCTGAAGGGACAGGGAAAACGTACGTATTCGTCTTTTCGCATTCGTATGTTCGATTTTTTGATGGTCGAATACCGATAACGTTTTAGGTATGCGGAGATGCGCTCAGATGAGAAGAACAAGATATCGCATCGATCCCGTGCACTCGCGCTGTTGAGAGCGTACCTGAAAGATCTGCCCTTGGAGGCAGACATTCAGGGACATTCACACGCGGAGGCAACGTTGGCATAAGTTGCCCCCTATCCCAGTGCCAGACTAGCAAAAGATGTTTTAAGAAGAAATTAAATGTAGACATAGAAGTAATATTTGTAACTCACTGTAGATTGGAGGAAATGACTAAACTCATTCGATCGTTCGAGCCTCGAGTCAAAGTAACATATGATGCTACAATGTGTCAATATGATGAATTTGCTATAGTGCTACAAATGATTCAATAATTAGGATAGACAGACAGGATGATAATGAAACACTTAGACGTTTCCTAAAGTCAGAAGGCTTAGAAAATAACGGTACATAGTCAAGCTTGCACAGCCACACAGATCACTGAGTAAAGAAGTGGAGAATATTGTAGGAAGTCTTTTTTATACTGATCACTCAAATTCTTGTTGACTGCTTACATAAGAATAGTTATGGCACAAAATACAGGGAATGTGCGGATGAGATAAGTCCATTTAGGACTGGTATGTGTTCACTCGTAACACGCAAAACTTGCTGTACCCTTTACCAATGCATCACCAGCAAAACCAAACTCCTTAACTGTTACTTTCGATAAATTATCATAGTCGTATATATTCAAATGGTGAACATATCACAATACATATGACTAAAGATACAATTATTAAGCAAGCTAGATAAGTATGAAACGCCCAATCAATTCCAACAGACAGAACACCTGCAGATAGTCGCAGGTAGTTCGGTTCAATCAGGCATCCAGATGCTTGAATGCATTGCCAGAGACTGCAAGTATGGGTGGACAGATAGACCTATTGATCACCCAAATTTCGCTTCACTGCCCGGATTATAGATTGGCCATGCTCCGAAACCCCAACCGAAGCAACAAACAGGAGGATAACTATCACCGGCTCTAGTCTCCAATCAGCCCGGAGACTTCTGTAGTTGCAGCTCGTAGTGATTCGGAGGTCGATGAAAGCTACAATTTACAGCAGGCAGGGCTGGATTGATGGAAGTAGTGTGCGTGATAAAACGAAATTGGGTATAGCAGCGTCTCGTGTCGTAAAATTTTGAAAATTTAGTATTAGGTCTCTCGCATACAACCTCCGGGTAATAAATAACGGAAACGGTCTGCGTTTCGGATGACATAATCCGGGATATGTACTGCCGAGCGAGATCTGAAGTTTCTGGTTAGGTCTGGAGAAAATCGAGAATGAGAAGAGAAGAATACCACTCACGGTTGTAGATACATCTGGCTCAACAGATCGGCATACTGTATGAAAACAAAACAATGAATGAGTGGGAGAAAAAGAAGTATGGACTTGGGAATCGCTTACGCTATATGCTTCCGGAAGCATACCGAAAATATCTTCGCCTTTGCAGATCACCTCTTGTATCCGACGCTCATCCAGAAGCCGCTCGTTCCCTCCAATTCGGTCTGAATGGGAGAATCCCCGCATTTTCAGGATGTATTCTGGTATTGTACGGAAACAAAATGAGCAGTGCCAGCCTGCGTCGGCGAGCGCGACGTTCGTGGACATAGAATGCCGATAGTATGTGCTATCGTCGAAACGATGCACGGAAGCACGCCAAGAAGACATGCCAATGTACCATTCGAAGCTATAGAGGTAGTTCCGAAGCAGTAAATGGATCCGATTTCCGAAGTCGCAGGCCTTTAGGAGTGCTAGCGTATGCCAAGAAGGTATCTCGTCAATGTCAGACATGACCACTAATGTCTGCGTGGATGATGGCAGAGAGCTGATATAGGCACGAAGTTGTCGAGACATGATGTTCCGAGTGTGAGCTTCAACGTCCCAAGCAGTCCGGCCGTCTCGAAGTTCATAACCTGGAAGGCTATATACCAATGTTTTAGGCGAGTTCTTCGAGAGACAATGAACGGACGACTTACAAATGGTACTCGATCTTATGCTCAAAAGCTGCAAACCGCTCCCGATTATTCGCGAAATACATCTCCTTTGGCAGGCCAGTGAACGTCGCGTTGCTTTCGACGATGAAGAAACGGTCGACGATTCGGTCAAGCTCGTGCAGGCGTATCTCGAGCAGGTCGACTTCGCTGCTCATAAGCACAGCATCCAATACCCGTACGTCTTCACCTTCAGGCCTGTGGTTCCAGCCATGCAGCTGGCAGGCGTGGTCATCCATGCTCATACCATCGGCATAGAAATGTGGCAACACATCGTGCGGTCCGTCAGGACGATCCCATAGGGGGCGTGTTGCATAGGAAAGGGCGTTTCTGATCTGATAATTGAACTCCGCCAATAGTAAGCCGAAAGAAATAATGAGAAGTAAGGATAGAATGAGGAGAAACTTTCGCCGTGGCATGGGGGGAAGAGGCGGAAAGGCCAAGGGCAACAACGAGACGGCATCTCGTTCACTGCATTTGCGGTCATAGATGGCATCACATAAGCATCAATTCTATTCTTTGGCCATAGGGTCTCGTCCAGATCCGATGTCAACGACCTTGAAACCCCGACATCAGACCTTGTTTGTATTTCAAGAAAAAGGTGTCTCGAATTTTGGACATTCCCTCAAACAAAAAAATCATTATCAATGCCACACTTGAGAGTACATCGTGCCTGAAGTCCCCTTATCTTTTCATACCTTGCTAATGAGGCGGTACGATCCACCTAAGCCAAGACTTTGCTTCAAACTCAGAGTTTAAAATTAGTAAAATGCAAAAAAAGAATAGATGCGTATTACATAATTTATCGGAGTTGAAAGCGTGTCGCGCATTAAGCGAGGCGCGTCTCTTCGCGCTCTGGCGCCTGCAACGACAATGGTGCGCAGACCGGACACGGAGTCCGACAAGTCATCGCAAAGCATAGTTGAAGGACGCTCTAAATCGAGGAAGCAGAACGGCGGAGCCGATGGATATGATGAAGACGTTGGTGATAATCAGAGCGACGAGAAAGAAGAGGACGAATTGGAGGACGATGAGGAATTGGTGAATGGCGCGCGAGAGGATGCGGAGGACGAACTTGACGAGAATGATGAGGATGAAGAAGATGCTGCCGGCACACCGAAGGGCAGGAAACGCGCTCGTGTAAATGGCGAAGGCGACTCTCATATACTTAAAGAGGAGCAAATGAGAATAAGGCGACGTCCCACCATTCTCGCCCGGGATAAAGATGGGTGAGCTACACGACGTCATTAATAGAACAAATAACTAATAAGCTTACATAGTTACGTCCCTGGCTCAATCCAACGCGTCAAACTGCATAACTTCCTTACATATGACGACGTCGAATTCCGTCCGGGTCCGTATCTTAACATGGTCCTTGGACCCAATGGGACTGGCAAATCATCGATCGCTTGTGCTCTTTGTCTTGGGCTCAACTGGCCTCCAAGTGTGGGTACAACTTTACTCTTCCCCCGACATGAATAGGACTGACTATTTGTTCAGGTACTGGGCCGGGCATCGAAGCTTGGAAGTTTCGTCAAGTTAGGCAAATCCGATGGTTTCATCGAGATAGAGCTGAAAGGCCCAATCGGAGAGCATAATCTCGTAATACGTCGCAATTTAACTTCTGGGATGACATCCCAGCAGGCTTTCACGCTGAACGGGACCCAAACTCCTGGAAAGGAGATCAGTGCGCGTGTTGAGGGCTTAGGTATCCAGATCAACAACTTATGGTAGTATCTTTGCTCTAGAGCATTGGCTATTACTAATCTAATTGACACAGTTCCTTCTTGCCGCAAGACAAAGTGGCTGAATTCGCGCAGATGTCACCGCAGCAATTATTGCGTGCGACTCAGAAGGCTGCAGGCGACGGACAATTGCTCAAATGGCACGACTCCTTGATTGAATTGGGGCAAGAACTCAAAGATGTATCCTCGGTATGTCAGGTTTAAATAATACGATAATATTTATGCTAAGTGACCTCTCAGAAATGCGCGATTGAACGTAGAGAAGTCGAAACTCTGGAGCAGCGGAACGCAACCCTAGAAAGAGAGGTGTCAGCGTATAAGAATCGTCGAAGGATTGAGAGGGAAATCGAATTATTGGAGCTCATCCTTCCTTTCAAAGAGTACCTCAATGCAAGGAATGACTACGATACTCTGAAGAAGAGGCGAGCGGAGCTGCATGAAAAGGCTCTCAACCTGAAGAAAAGGAGCCAGCCTGTACATGACTATAAAGGGTGAGTAGGAGTGATCGATTTCAAGTGGTTCAGCTATGCTCACGTCTAAATTAGCAAACTCGCAAAGAACAAAGAGAAGGCCGATGCAGAAAGGGAGGGGTGTAGGACTAAAGCAAAGAAAAAGTTTGAAGCCCAAAAGCCTCTCTGGAAGAAGAGCGAAGATCTCGTATGCCTTTGCTTGAAACCTCGCCTAAGTACACCATCGCTGACTTTGTCTCGTAGTCAGCCGAAAGTGACAAGATAGCTGATGATCTCACTGCCTTAAAGAATCAAGAGAAGAAACGTCGAACTGCCATTCAGACTCTGAAGAACGATATTCATAAGCTAGAGCATGAAATCGCTCATCCTCCCGAGACAGAGGACATGGAGACAATCAATGCTGACTTTGTTCGCATTTTATCTATGCCGCATTTTAGAAGACTTATTTATCCTTTGAATAGAGGGCAAATCAGCAAGAACTCAATACGGCTGAAATGGAGAAACATGAGATGGAGGGTGAGATTCGACCCTTCGTAGACGAGTCTGCACAGCAGGATATTGCCGTAAGAAGAGCAACGGAAGCGTGGGTTTCTAATTGATCACGTCTATCTGTAGGCTTGCTAATCGCACAATTGCAGGCTTCTGAGGTTAGACAGTGCATCTCATCGGAAACTCGAAGCATTTCGAAACTGGGATCGCGCTGCCGGAGACGTCGTTGCTTGGCTACGACAGAACAAGCATCAGTTCAAGAAGGAAGTCATTGAGCCAGCAGCGCTTTCTGTTGATGTCAAGGATGGAAGATATGCTTCTGCCGTGGAGTCTGCTTTTAGTGCCATGCAGCTGAAGGTACGCCTGTCCCATGCGACCGTATGATTGGAACGAGAAGTTGAAAATGGCTTTTAAAGACGTTCGTCTTCCTTTGTGACGAAGACCACAGGAAATTCAACCGCTTGATCATCGACACGAACGAGGGCATGGGTAGGCGATGCAAGGTTGCCACTTGGTATAGGCCCGAAAGACAGGAAACTGTGGTGCCACCACCCATGTCTCGAGAAGAGGTTTGCGTCTCATTGCTTCATATCTTCGAAATATGCGCTCAACATTCTTGCATATAGCTTAAACAGCAAGGCTTCGACGCATACGGCCTCGACCTGGTGACATATCCGGAAGGCATGCGCTGGTTCCTCTTGGATGAAATCAAGCTACATCGTTTTGTGCGTCTCCTCTAATATCGTCTCATACAAAGGTTTGACGACATTCCTTTAGGCGATCGGATTGAATAGTTCAAGAATAGATATGCAAAGCGCCATGGAAATGGTGACTCGTAACCTACCAAACGGCAGACCTGGATCTGGCAGCTTCGTCATAGGCAACGTGCTTTCCATGGTATCGCGATCGCGATACGGTCAACGGAAACCGTTCAATAACACGCGTGACATCCAACCTGCGAAGTCCTTCAGGAGTGCACCCGGTATACATTCCAAATCTACTTATTTCACGTCATGAAAATTGACTTCGACTGTATTGCAGTTGATCAAGAGAGAAAGCGAGCTATAGAAGTGCAAATCAGGGAAGCGCAAACATTGAAGGAGGAAGCTGAGAGTAAAATTTCGGAGCTCAACCAGAAGATCAAGGACAAGGACACTCGTGTCCAAGCCATTCTTTCAGAGAAGATGGAAATCGAGAAACGGAGAAAAGCGGTTCTTGATATACAGCGTAGGCTGCAGACGATGAAGCTCAGGCTTGGTTAGTTTCCTAACTTAAATTTTCGGAAGCCCCTTCGGTTTATGAACATTTTTACAAAGATGATAAACGCAGAGCATTGCAAAAAGAAGAAAACGCGCCTTCGCTTGAAGAGAAGCGAGCAACCTTGCGCAAGAAAGGCTTTGACTATGCCAAACAACGATTAACTATCGCAAGGCAGTTGAAGGCACGTTCTGGCCTCGATTCCCATCAGTACCTTGCTGACATTGTTTTGTCCTCTAGGAACTCACTATGTCGTCATTGGAAGACAGCCACACGGCAGCACTTGCCGGACTTCGATTCTTGCAGATTGGTGCAAACATCGATGCGTTGGAACAGTTGATCAAGACGCATGATACCCAGTACGAAAAGGCAATGCAAGATTACAATACGAGTAAGTCCACTGAACACATCCGAGCAACCGGTTCATTAAAGCGGTATTTGTCTGTAGTTGATCAGGAGTATAATGAAATGAAGGCTATCACAAAGGCTAAACTCATGGCTAGCAAAAAGAAACTTGAGGAAATCGATGACGAGCTCCGACAGACGTTCATGGAGAAGGACGAGGTATGTATAGATCCGGCACTTTGTAACTCGGCTGACCAATGTCTTTCGTGTTATCGCATAGAGCGGCGAAGTCCAACGAATGAGTGTTGAAGACATTGAACAAGACCTTGCCAATCTGAGAGCACAGCTCGAACTCAACCTAGCGACGAACGCTGGAGTCATCGAGACGTACGAAAGGCGACAGCGCGAGGTCCGCCTAACTCTTCTTGACTGCGACTATTCCACTAATATTGGACTTACTAGATCGAACAAAGGACCCGCATTCTTGAGAACAAAGAGAAGAGGAGGTCAGATCTAGAGCGTAAGCTTCAAAAGACGAGGGGGAAGTGGTTACCTGCACTCCAGGAGCTCGTCAATAACATCAACGAGAAATTCTCTGCTGCTTTTGACCGTGCGTTAAGCCTTCTCCGGGACATCCCTTTCTGTGTCGTTTACTCATGTTTTGCATCTGAATGAAGGTGTCAACTGTGCCGGAGAAATTAGGATTGCCGAACATCCTGATGACTACACGCAATGGGCGATTGATATTCTCGTCAAGTTCCGAAACAGTGAGAACTTGCAACTTTTGACTGGACAGAGGCAATCTGGGGGAGTGAGTGCATTACCTGTTGTGGAGATTATTGAGTCGAAGGCTGAGAACTATTCTCTGTTTAGGAACGAGCGCTTACGACGATCATGTATCTCATGAGTCTTACGGAACTCGCACGAGCGCCATTCTCGTTGGTAGACGAGATCAACCAGGTCTGTTGTTCCGTTCTGTGCAATTGTCATATTCTAACGAGTTATAATAGGGAATGGATGCACAATACGAACGCGCCGTACACAACTCACTCGTCGAAGTGACATGTCAACCCGATAGCGGACAATACTTCCTTATCACTCCAAAGTTGCTGACAGACCTCAAGTACCATGAGCGCATGAAGGTGTTATGCGTGAGCAACGGCGAGTGGTTGCCAGACGAACAACTCGATGGGAACATGATGCGCATGATTGATTCGTTCGTCGCGCATCGTGATCGTGTACGTGCCCGATAGGACTGGTCGACGTATTTGTTGGCAAAGTGTAATTTTCTGTGATTTGGAAGTATATATTTTGAGAATGGTTTACCTTCTGGGCTGCTACTCTTCATTTGCATTTAGATCATCCATTTTGATGGTGATTAGTATAGTATTATATTAATATCATAAACTATCGATGATAGCTCCTAACTCTTTCCGTCGTTTCCTCGCAGCTGCAATGCAGTTGAGCATACTGTCTTGAACACTAGACGTACTCGCTCCTGCTTGCTGTACAGACACCAATTCGTCTTTTTCATCTATAATGACGGTGTAAGAAGTATTAAGAAGAGGTTCTTCGAATGAAGATGGATCAGCGAGTATGTGTGTTCTAACAGAATCAAGGATATCAGTGTAAGTACTTGTATATGCAGTGTGTGAAGCTGCGCTGAGTGGTATGAAACGTACGAGTCGAAGATCCCAAATGAGATAGCAAGTGGAGTTCGCAAAATTTGTAAAGCAGTCTTTTCTTTTCGTGAACAAGTCGTTCGGCCTGTTTCTTCATCGAAAGTAGCTTTGGGTAGTCGGGCTGAAACAATTTTATCGTGAATTGTCAATCTGAATAACATTAAGTGTACGCACTGTTCTTGAGGGCAGCGATCATAGCAAGTAACGCAGCATCGAAGACGTTCCCGTCGAAATTGATACACGTCGCGTCGACGTAAAGAACCCAAACGGCCTTTCGAGGGTGTATACATAAGGATGGTAACGAAACTGTTTCGGAACTGCATAAAGAAAAGTTGTATGTTAAACTAGTGAGAAATTTATGAGACTGACGATGAGGTACATACGAGATTAACGCGTCGTATAGTCGCTCGGAAAGCACTTGTGCTTCGTCGGCTGGTGGACCGGGCTTGAATTTTGGAGAACAGATCGCTGGGAGGTCGAGATTCGGAACTATTACGACAATACAATATGTTTTAGCTTACAGGCAAGCGGAGGGAGAAACTACGGTAACGTACCGATGAACCCGAGCTCTGGACTATCCAACTCAGGCTCAGCAATCTCAGCTTTGACACCGCAGACAATCGTTGTGTCCCCGAGACGAACGAGTGAAGAGCCGTCTGCAGTCGATATCGAGCCTATCGTTCAAACCAAAGACGAAAGAATAATAATTTCAGGCTTATTCTTAGCTTAATCTCCTTTATTCTAGGTCTTTGCTTGAAGAATAGGTACCTACCTACATTGACACTGACATCGCGAAAGTCGGCTACTTCGCGCCCGTCGGGACGGAACCCTTCGTTGAGGAATCGTTCGAGATATGTACGTGGATGGAGACGTCGAAAAGTCTCTGCTTGGAGTTCAGTATCCACGGATTGAGGCTGGGGCGTTGTAGTAGCACTTGCGGACGGAGCGAAGGAGGTGGACATCGTGGACGCGAAGAGAGACGCGTCTCAAGATTCGGTGAGACATAGCACTCAGATTGGTAGAGACATTGGCCATTCTGATGATAAGACACCAAGCTGAAAGTGTGATTGAACGCCGTGGCATTACCATCCAGGATTTGGAGACTATTTATAATGTCACACATACTGTAAATCTACTTGCCACTCTCATCACCAAAAAAAAGGAGACACGCAAAAAAAACAGGCACAAAGAGGGCGAGCTTGAGTCACATCACATGACACTCATCACGTCACCCCACGCATACACTCACTGCTGCAAGCAGGTTCTTCTGCGCCCACCATGCTCGACGGGCGCAAGTTAAAAGTCGGCGTCCTAGGCGCGACGGGAACAGTCGGCCAGCGCTTCATCTCTCTCCTCGGGAACCATCCATTCTTCGTCGTACACGCTCTAGGCGCCTCTGCATGCTCAGTAGGCAAGCCCTACAACCAAGCATGTAACTGGAAGCTATCCTCCCCGATCCCAGGATATGTCAAGGGGATCGTGGTGAATGAGTGTGTGCCATGGCATTTTATGGAGTGTGTGGTGGTTGTGTTCCCTCATAACCTCATATCTGTGTCATAAACAAATGAAATTTATAGTATAAAAAGGAGTGGATTGTTTGCTCTTAGTAATAAACTCAGTCAAAATACACACAAACAGAACTTTAATTATACACCATACTATACACTGATCCTATCTTACTAGCACCCTGTACTGATGTGAATATTCTGTGTCCACTATAATCATCCAACAAAACAATAAGGTTGAGAGGTTCATCTGACCCAAACCAATCCAACACTCCAGTTTTAATTTCGTAAGGAGCTATCTGGACAGTTGCTTGAATGAGCACTGTACGATGTTCTGCGACTGGGGCT